CAAACCCACCCAAACACACTCATAGCTTTTGTGATTGATAGGTGAGGGAAAATATAATCATTGGCTAATAACAGTTTATGGCCCAAAGTTTTGCCCGTTCAAATCCATATTTATGGATTTCATGCTCATCACAAGACAATTGGATATGAAGTTTGGCATTTTTATCAGATATACCAGTATATATATATATATATATATATATATATATATATATATATATATATATATACGCCCTGGGAAAGTCCTGCAGATTGAAGAGATGTTTCCAAGCAATCAATCAGTAGGGAAATAATAATAAATGGATTTTCCGGATGGATTGAGCTATTAAGCAGCCAGACATTTGAATATATGGGGGAAAGTTGTACTGAAGGGGTAGGTGGCAGTTACAGGCAATCCTCAACAGTTGAAAAAAAATGACTTATGACCATTTTTCACACTTATAACCATTGCAGCATCCCAAACCATAACAAAAGATTGTAAATTGGGCATGACTCATTTAACAACCCAACACCAGTTGTAAGTAGAGGACTATCTCGATACTGCATTGAATGCCTCCATTGGAATATTTGGCATCCAGTGCGACCGAACTATCTTCAGATGACCCACAAACAAAGCACGGGTCTCAAACTGGTCAGAAGAGGGGATGGGATACCTTATGAAACCCTAGAGCTGTAGGCTAGACTAGGGAAAGAGAAAATACCCACGAAAAAGAAACTAGCAAAACTTTCCATCTGGCTACCCCCAAAATTCAAATCCGACTCAAAGGCAAGCTTGGGCTATATAGGGCTAGGCCATTAAACTAGGAGAAAATTTACTTATGAACCCAGCCAATGGTGGCTTAAGAGTTAAAGCGCCGTTAACAAAAACAGAACAACAGAGTTGGAAGCCAAGAGAGACTTTAATAGAAGCAGGTAGCAGAGCTGGAAGGGACCTTGGAGGCCTTCTAGTCCAACCCCTTGTTCAGGCAGGAGACCCTTTCCCATTCCTGGTGAATGGCTGTCCAGTCTCTTCTTAAAAGCCTCCAGGGATGGAGTTTTGAGTTTTAAGCACTTCATGGCACCGAAGACGGAATCACCCCGTCTCTCTTCCAGTGATACGAAATTAAAGATTCAGCACAATGCCACCCGCCAGCACTTCCAAGACTAGCCAGAGGAAAGGCTGCCTTCCATAACCACAAATACACACACAGCAGCCACAAGTTGCTGAGGTCTATCATTAGAACGAGAGCCTGGATGGTTTATTTTCAAGGGAGGGAAAAAACCCAGCAACTTTTGACTTCTCTGCTGGAAGTCGAGGTGGGTGGTGAAAGGACGTTAGAGAGTAAGGCAAAGGCTGGTCTGAGTTACTCAAGGCTCGCTCCTTCTCCCCTGAGGGAGACAGAAGGTGCATTGACGGATTATGGTCGGAAAAGGGGATCACATCTCCCTGGACACTGCTACCGTCATAAATACGAACCAGTTGCTAAGCTTTTGAATTTCAGTCACATGACCGCGGGGATGCAACAAAGGTTATAACTGAAAAACAGTCATAAGTCCCTTTTTATAACTTTGAACGGTCACTAAATGAACTGTTTTAAGTCAAGGACTTGTCTCTACTGTACGTCTTATTTTGAGGAGCAAGCTTAGAGTTCACCCTATCACAGACCATCCCCTCCATGCCTCAATTGCCTAAGCAACCAGCAGACGTAGCATCATCCAGCCGCTCGCTTCTCTCATTTAGTGAATACCACAGGATCTCCTTCAAAGAGACCATCATCTTGGTAATTAGCTGTTTACTCGAAAGCTGAGCCGTCGGACTCCTGCAAAGCAACTCTCTGAACCAAGCCTCATCCGACGTGCTTGTGCAACGATTCAGCAACTCTCCGATCCTTTCAGTTTCTGAAACAGCTGACGAGACCGGCCTCTTGATTATTTGGGGTTGCAGGCTACCCCCTCGCCTCTAAGCTGGACATGCGCCACCTGCGTTGTAGACCGTGCCTCTCTTCCATTGAAAGTTGGTTGGCCCTGGTCAAGGAATTCTGGACCTCTCCAAAGCTCAGGACAGGAACCTGGAGTCTCCTTTCAGGTCTGGACGGTAGCCAGAGTGAGGGTTCGGTTTCAAAATCCTTTGCTCCTTTTCATAATGCCAAAGGAAATCCTTGGGCTCAGTTTTCCTAAACAATACAGAGAGTAGCAATTTCTGCCTTGCTCCACAGTGTCTAACAGGGAAAAGTAACACAGCAGCATCACAATCTTAAAAGACATTGTGCTCAGCAGCAGATAGAAGCCATATCTCTCCAAAGGACTTCTAAAAGTCAACAAGGGGCAGGGGAAAGCATCTAATGATGGTACCTGGTCTGGTAACGAAACGTCTGCAAGAAAACAACCCAGCTCAGAGAGCACCAAAGACTCCACAGGTCCTCCTCCTCCTCAAACTCCACTCCCTCCTAGCACGGATGATGGTACCTAGTTGGGTAATGAAACGTCTGCCAGAAAACTAGCAAATTCAGAGCTGCTGTACATACACAGGGAAAAAGGCACACTCGCTAGCACTGATGGTGTTCCCTAGCTGGGTCATGAAACAGCAGAAAGGAAACCATCAAGATCAGAGCTGCTACTGCTGCATATAAGTGGGGAGCAAACCCCACACTCATTAGCCCCAATGATGTTGCCTAGCTGGGCCACCTGTTACACTAAACCAGAGTTTGCTTCACACAGTTGTTACCCAAACCTCACATCAGTTTGGTTTGTGCACTGAGCCAAGCAATGACAGCGTGCTCAACTTCCAGGCTGAATTTTCATCTACTCTTTAGCCAAAAACAATTTTGGCTTTGGACCTTGTTTATAAGCCACTAATTATGGCCTATTGGTATGAGCACAGTAGGCCACTACATTCCTCCAACAATCCAAAATAAACATGGCTTGATGAGATTAATATATCCAAACGGTGACTGGTTTTATTTAATTTCACATTTGAGGCAAAAAAATGGGGTTTTCTTCCCAAATCCAGTTTTAAAGGTGCATAAAACTACAACAGAATAACAGCGTTGGAAGGGACCTTGGAGGTCTTCTAGTCCAACTCTGTTTCCTTTCCAAGCTCCTTTCAACCTTCCGACAGTTAAGAAAATTACGTGAATGAAATATGCAAGCATCAAACCCCCATTTCTCCTTTCCTTCATTGATCGCAACTAAAAAGTTGTTCTCTTGCTTTTATGTGTGTTTTTTTCCTTTTCCAGTGAAAATGTGAGTCAAACAGAAACAGGAAGCCAAAGGACACTCTTCTTCATCATGAATGTCATTCTTCCTTAAAATTCTTTTGCTTTTCTGTTCCATTTGCAGGAAGAAAAGCTTATTAGGCCAGTTAAAAGCTGGCAGCCCTCGCATAATATCCTTACTATCTTGGTTCATTTTAACCGTTTGTATTTTTTCTAGCTACTCAGCCAATTCGATTAGGTTACTATCTCGAGCAAACATGAAAACTGTTACTGCAGAAATAGATAAAACGTGTTGAGTGAGCACCGCTCCTGTGTTCACAAAACACACCCATACTTAAGTTGTGGTTCACTCAAAATCTCTGGATTTACATAGCCACGCGGGTTGAATTCACACAAGAGGCCAAGGCGAGGCTGGCAGTTTTGGGGTTTGGTTGTGGTTGGAAGAGGAAAGGACCCCCAACTTAATTCTGAAAGTCAGGGGATTGTCATAAAAGAGCAGCCAAAGAGCCTTGAACTCATTTACACGGTGGGCAAAACAGTCAGAGATTCCAGAAACATCTTGTAAAAGCAAAAAAAAAGATGGACGGACATGATCTCGTAAAGGCAAGCTGATCCACATCATGAAAAAAGAAAAGAAGGGAGCCAGAAATAAGTACACCTTTTTCTCCATTAAATAAAATGATTTAAGCCTTTCTCTTCCCTCCAGACAGCTCTCAGCACCACCAGTCAAAGATACCTCCAGGCTGAGGCCGTCCCTGCCCGTTTGAAAACCTTAAGAGGTTGCATTCACACCATTTTAGCTAAACCTGGTTAGCTCTTTTTTGTTTTTGATGAGGCAGCGCTGCTGGCTGGAATCAAAGGGGGGGGAGGCATTAATTCAGGAATTAGTGAAGCCACTGCAAGGGGGGCGGGGGACAGAGGAGAAGCGGTTGGAAAACATGGGGAATGGGAGGTGCCTGCCTCTTAAGACCCCTGTCTGAAAATAAATCGCAAAAACAAGAGATAGCTTCTCTCTCCAGATAGTCCTTGGCTGAAATCACCAAGCAGAAATATCAAACCACCCTGATTTGTTTTTTTTTATGTTAGTCAAGCAAGAAAGCAGATTTTTTTCCGGGGGTGGGAATAATTACCCCCCACCCCCCAGAAAGGTTCCCCAGCTCTCTGTCCTGTTTCTCAGGGCTGCCTTCTCTGACTTCGCTTCCACGCCCCACCACCCCAGCCCTTCTTCTTCTTCTTCTTCTGCTTCTCCCCCTCCACTAAAGGCGGCTGGGCTTAAAACATTTCCGTTCTCCCGTTGAGAAATGCGTTTTTTTTTTTTTGCCTCGGCCGTTTCAACCCACCGAGGCTCGTTTCGTTCGCGATTGCATCAGTGAAAAAACAAAATAAAACACAGATTAATTACAAACGAGCCGATCGGGCACACGCGCCTCGCCGGACACCCCCTTTCCCCAGAAGCTGCGCCAACCCACCCCCCTCTCCGCAAATTTCTGCATTTTAACCATGGAAAGGATCGGCTGCAAAAGACCACGAGGTGCCCGGCCAGCCTTTGCAAACCGTTATTTTTTCTCCCGGAAAATCCCAGGAGAAAAGGCAGCGAAGGAAATATGAAAAAAATCTCATTTCGTCCCCCCACCCCCGCGTTCCTCGTTTTCTTTGCCCGGGGAAGTTTGCGCATCGGCGGATCCCGGCCTGCGGAGGGGCTGAGCGAGGCGCGACCCCCTCCGGAGGGGAAGGGGAAGGCTCCCGCTCTCCCTCTGCTGTCCGGAAAGCCCCCCAAGGCAGGCGAAAGCCCCGGCACTAGACTTACCCACAGTTCGGTGCCCCAATTCATGGTGCCAGCAGCTGCGCTTGGCGAAGCGGCGGGTCCTGGAAGGCGGCCGGGCTGGAGCGAGGGCAGGGTCTGGGGTCTTCAGCCCCTGCTTCTTGCTCCCGCCTCCCCCAGTCGGAGGCGAGCCCCCTTCCAAGCGCTTTGCCCAACTGGCATAGGCTGGCCAATTGCAAGCCGGAGGCAGAGAGGAGAAGGGGCTTTGCCCCCGCCTGGTCTGCCCGTTGCCCTGTCTGCCTCCCGCCTCCCCCGCAAAAGCCCCAGACTCGCTATCTGCCCATCGCTTCCTCCGTCCGGAGTAAGAAAAAAAAAAATGGCTCAAGCAGCAACTCCGGAGTCTTGGGCAAGGGAGGGGGGAGCTTGACAGCTCGGGGAGGGGAAAGGGGAGAGCGCGCATGCGCCGGGGGGGGGGAGAAGGAGCGGGTGTGCAGAGAGGAGGAAAAAAAAAGAGAGGAGGACGAGTAGGGGGCTCCGGGGATTGCGCAAGCGCGAGAAGGGGTCGGTGGCACCCCCTCCCTCCCTCCCTCCCACCCACTCACCCACCCACCCTCCCTAGATGGATTGAGCGAGGCGGCAGCGCCTTTGGCAAGCTTGAAGCGCGACCCCTGGGGCTCCGAGGACAGGCAGCAGCTCGGGGAAAGATATTGGGGAGGGGGCTGGCGGAGGGGGCTTAGCGCAAAGCCCTCCTTAGCCTGGCTCGGGAGCGGAGCGCACTTGATCCGGACTCGGTTTTGCAAAAGCGCAGACGATGCGCCAGCTCGGGGAGGGCAGCCACGGACAAGCCCCATCGGGGGAGCGCTCAGCCAGAAGCAGATCATGGTTAAGGCGCTGCAGCAGCCGGGCTTGCCCTGTGGACGTGACGCCCCCTCCCCAAACCTTCCTCCGGCCGGGTTAAGCGCGTTATGGCTGTGGTCAGCCGGCCTGAGCTGTCCAAACCCTCCAACTGCAGTTGACCGGGAGAAGCTCAACAAACAAACCAAAGGTGGCTTAACACATCCCTGGACTCACGCAGTTATCTTGAGATCGTGGTTAACGGAACGCGCTTCAGATAGGCAGGCAATGGGAACGTAACAGCCCTCTCGTATCCCTCCCCAGCCTTCCTCTGACGGGTGCTGTCCAAATCCTTAAACTGCAATTTAATCTAAGCTCAACAAATAAGCCATATCACCATCCCTCCATTCATACACAGGTAATCCTTGACTTACAACATTCATTTACTGACCGCTCAGAGTTTCAAAGGTACTGAAAAAAGGGACATGACGGTTGCAGCGTTCCCATGGGTCACGTGATCAAAATTCAGACACTTTATGACGGTTGCAGCGTCCTGGGTCAGGTGATCCCAAACAGACTGGGGACCATGGAAGCCGTGGGCCGCACTCAGCAGGGGAAAAGGGCTGTAGCATAAGGGATCTATTAAATAATATGACAGGCGCCCAAAGATTCTTGTATCCTTTGTGGTAATTCTTTGGGGCAGTTCCTCCAGTACTAGAATGCTGCTATCATGTCCCCCCTCGTCCTTCTTTTCTCTAGACTTTAGACCAAAAAGCGGTTGTAAGTCAAGGACTTCCTAAAATTGGTACGAAGTTAGCTGGGAATCTAGCCTCTTGAAGCCACATCAGTGTGTAGGCCAGTTTTGCACAACACCCAGCACAACTCGTAGAACTGAAGGGCCCTGGGAGATCATCTAACCCAGCCACCTGCAGATTCACACAGTAGCCCAATGTTTGGCCAAATCACATCAGGGCAGCGAAGGAAAACAATGAGTGTGTTGTGGTTGAAAACAGCCATTGTTCTTTGTGAGAGACCTCCAGTCAACAAGAATGCAGTGAAAACGCCCAAACGTCTTGCACGTGATCACAGCAATGAAGGTGCCATACAGCAGGATAGGAATTAAAACAACTAAAATACCTCTTATTCTGGAAGAAAAAAAAAATTACGCCGGCCTTTTGGAGAGGCAGTTTGGTCTAGTGGTTATGGCACCAGGCTAGAAGGTGGGAAATTCTGGGTTCTAGTCCCACCTTAGCCATGAAAGCTGGCCAATCAGGAGACCGGGAGTTCTAGTCCTGCCTTAGGCATGAAAGCCAGCTGGGTGACTTTGGGCCAATCATCAGGAGACAGTGAACGGAAGTGCCGCCTTTCGTATGTGAATCTGACGGGTGACTTTGGGCCAGTTCCCTTCTCTCAGTCCAATCCACCTCACTGGGTTGTTGTTGTAGGGAAAATAGGAGGAGGGAGAAGTATGGTGTGTGTGTGTTCCGCCTTGAGTTATTTGCAAAAATAATAAAAAGGCAGGACATAAATATATAAATAACGAAAACAAAAACACCCGCAACTCACTCTTTCCTGAAGAAAAAACTGCCCTTGATATGCATATTAAACACAAACACATGTTAAATACAGCAGAACTCTCTTCTGAATAACCGTGGAAAGGTCTGCACTGAGTTCAAACCATGCACCATTTTTCTTTTCCTTCCTGCTCCTTCCTCTTTGTCGAAGTTTAGATTGTGAGCCTTTTGGGATACAGGGTTACAAGCCATGGATCTTTATAGGCGACCAAGATGAATTATGACGATCAGCTTGGTGCATCGTATAAACTAAATCAAGGTTAACCAAGCATGATTTATCGTAACGTGAACTAGGTCAGTTTTTAAAAGGATGGCCCCAGTAGTTCTTAGTTTCCTACATTAGACAATTCATTTTTTTCAATCAATTCATAGAATAGTTTGAATAATTAAGCAAGAAGCTTAATTGTTACAACAGGAAGTCAAAGTAATAATTCCTTAATTAAACACCACTGACTGTATTCACACGACATCTAGTGGCGAAAGGGAAAACAACATTCTAATTCACCATGTGATTTTTTTTTTTACTTGATTGCTAAATTTGTTTGTTTGCTTGCTTATATTTATGTCTGCAATATGGTGTGGTGTCAACAACATGTTCAAATTTTTTTTTCTGAATCTGTCCACAAGATTAGCAACAGCAGTTGGATAAACAGATTTTAGCCATCAAACAGGCTGAAAAAAAACCCTCCCATTTGTAACATCGGCACCATCAAAGGAATATTACAAATATGGATTTGGTCTAATCAAAAGTTCTTTTCCCCCTATCAATTATCAACTCGGACAATCTTATCCTGCTTAAAAAGAAGATTGTGCGAGCTACCAAATTAGATAGATGGTAGTAAGAAAGAAGTGTCACAAGCCTTTTGTGAATTTCAGGAGTCTTCAGGCTCGTCCAAATTATTTGAGCCAACCTTTACACCTTCACTGAATTGACACAGCATGGACTACAGAGGGTAGGGTAGAGATGAGGGCAGGAGTCGTGGGTCCACATCTGCTACCTTTGCAGGTTGTCTTTGTGTGTGTGCTGTACGTATATTATGTATAATGGCTTTGACTCTTGTTTTATGGCGGCAGAATTATTGTGAGGCTGGGTGAACACAGAGATTAAGCCTTGGCTTTATCAATCATATCTTTGGCTAGTGGGTTAACACCTATCATGGTGCGTTTATGTTTTGATGTGTAAGAGATTGTTGTGGTTGTGGGGAAGATAAATAAGAATATCAAGTACGTTTGCTGCCTTGATGAAATAGCTAGTAACTCTCCCACTTTTTAAATGTGTATGTTTATCTATCCATCCATCATCCATCTCTATCATCCATCCATCCATCCATCTATATCTATCTACACATACACATGCACACACTGTATATACACAAGTTGAATATGTCCATGTGTACATATATAGGTAGATGTCTATACTTATATAAATAGGGGTTTGTGTGAGTAAATATACCGTGTATTTAGAATATAGAACAATATATTTGATTGTGTGTGTGTGTCTGTGTATAGATAGATATAATATAGATATATATGAAGTTATATAAAATATATATGTGATGATGAATGTATATTTACATATATACTGTGTACTTATTCATAGATATAGCACTCCCGCTTTCGCTTTCCCCGAGCGGAAGTCCCGAGACGCTCCTGCCGGAAGTCTATGGCTCCCAGGCCGGCGGCAGCGTCATCCTACGGGGGCGGTGACCTTTCACCCCGGAAGAGGGCGGCCGGGGCGATGTTGGTGCTGGAGTGAAGATGGCGCTGGGAGGGAGCGGCGGCGGCGGCGGTTCCGGGTTCCTCTCCCGGGCCCGGGCGGCGTCGGGCGGGCTCCTCCTGGCCCTCCTGGCCGGGCTGCTCTCGGGGGGCCCCGCGCAGGCCCGGCTCCACCATCTCAGTCTCAAGGTAGGCGCCGGGATACGTGGAGGGCCTTTCCCCGCTCGAGCCCTCAGCCTTCCCCGTCTCTGCATCTCCGGCTGAGTCCTTCAGCCTGGGACACCCCGGTCCCATCATCCTCGGCTGGGTTGCTTTAGGACTGTTGTGCCCCACCCCCATCATCCCCAGCCTGGAATCTCTTCAGGTTGTTACACTCCATTCCCACCAAAGCTATTTAGGCAAGTACATCCTAGTCTTATCATCCTTATCTGGATTCCTTTAGGACTGTTGTACCCCAACCTCCATTATCCACAGCCTGGAATCTCTTAAGGCTACTTGGTCTATCTTCCCCAACTGGCATCCCTTCAGGCTGGTACTTCCCAGTCCCATTATACTTTGCTAGATTCCTTTTGGACATTTGTATCCCAACAGCCATCATGCCCCGCTGAGCTCCTTCAGGACGGTACATTCCAATCCCATCATCCCCAACCTGGAATTCTTTAGAGCTATTGGACCCCAGTCCCATCAAGGATTCCTTTAGGATTGTTATACCCTAGGCACCAGCAACCCAGCAGTGAAGTGAACATGACTTCCCCATTGACTTTGATTGTCACAAAAGGGGGTCACATGACCATCATAAATTTGAATGTCTGAATGTTGATCATGTGACCAGGGAGGATACTGCAACAGTTGTAAGTGTGAAAATGGTCATAAGTCACTTTTTCAGTGCCGTTGTAACTTGGAACAGTTACTAAACTAGTGTAGGTTGAGGATTTACCTGTAGCTAATATTGGTTAAAGATATAAATCTTGTCGGAAGAAGTAAAATCTTGGAATTAAAGCAAAAAAAAAAAAATATCCCATTTAACCGATTGTACTACTGCCCAAAATAACCACATTTGTAGGAACCTTATTGACTAGCAAGAATTTTGCAGAAAGAAAACCAGCAAGAGTTGAATCAGCCGACTTTCAATGTATTCTTTAAAAATCAGCTTTTGGCCCGTGTCCAGGAAGGCATCGCTTCTTAAATTACTACTTAGTGTGTCTTTCGAGTAAAATCTCTAGCAAGACTGTACAGGTTGAGCAAAACAGATAAGCGGAAATATTCAGGATGATCCTTCTGTTTGTTCAGGCTACGTTTATCTGTGTCTGTGACACTGCCGAATTTTAAGTGGGTTTTTTTTATTTCTAGCTTGGAATTAAGTTACTCTGTTACCATTTTAGCAGATTGTTGTCTACTAAATTGTGTTTGAAATCTTTGAATTGTATAAGCTGTAACCAGGCATCAGCTTCCTTTGTCCTTGGATTCAGGTTGCCTTTAGTTGATCACATTTCTGAGAAAATATATGCCATTTTCTGAAAGAACAGTAAGCACCTCAAATGTGTTAAGGTTGTTTATTTTAACGCACTAGTGACCATCTTTATAATACAACTTTCTTTTCAGCTACTGAGGCTTAACGTTGCAATTGAAAATATTTATTCCCTTTTATTTTTGTTTAAAACATCAAATAAGGCTTTGTTGACATTGGACAGAATTCTTAATCTTGTAATATATCACTTTCAGCATTTGATATTGTTGATGGAAAAAAATACGTTGGTATGTCACCATATTTTAGTGTCATGAGTTGACAGTATTGTGAAATGTTCCTTCTCTGAAATGAAACAACTTATTCCTTTTTTTGCGGTAGACTAATTTTTTTTTAAAAAAAAAATGCAGCTATCTTTTACTTTAATTTTGCAATGATTCTTGGTTTTGATAGGAATATAAAAGTTGGTTTTGTTCTTGACGTTGTGAGAATTGGTCTGCTGGAAAGATCTTACGAATGCCCCGATGTTGTCAGCCTCCCTAGATAGACCTAATGGAAAACGCAAGCAGAGGAACTACCTAATTCTACTTTATTGTAAGGCTCCTTTAACAAAATCTTGCAAGTTTGAAAGTACAAACCTCCCACTTCCTCTTTTATATTCTGAGACTGTTAGGGAGATTCCTTTCTGAGTATTTGTCTGCCCATTATGCAGCTCTGGGCTATGCCCTCCCTTATCTGATCATTCCCTAAGTCAGTGGTTCTCAGCCTGTGGGTCGGGACCCCATTTGGGGTCAAACGACCATTTCACGGGGGTCTCCAAACAACGCAGTCCACCATTTTTTCCCCTTTTCCTTAGCTGTGCTACTCCCTTTTATTCTATTGGCTTTTGAAAGCCAATAGAATAGACTCTCTTGAATAGAGTCTCATTCTATTGGCTTTCAAAAGGCAATAGGAATTGTCCAGGCTGTCTCTGCCCTGCTGAGCCCGCCAAAAGTCCCATTCTGCAAATGGTGCTGCACCAGTTGAGTAGTCCTCGACTTACGACCGGTTGGGGGTCGTGGCATTAAAAAGGTTGAGAACCACTGCCCTAAGTACTCTTCTGTCCTCCCACCACTCCTAAGGTCGTCCCCATATTCTGCTGCAGAAGCACTACGGCACCCAATTTACTCCGTGATGCTTCCTCAGCATCTTAGTCACTGGCCTTTCTGAATAAATATGAAGAGAATCTGATTGCACTTCTGGAGTTAGGAATATACATTCCGTGGTGAGTGTGGTGTGGATTCTCAGCAGGAGTAGAGGCTGCCTTTCAGAAGACCAAGAGACACAGAAGCTTAATGGTTTAGTAGGAAGAGAGTTCAGTCAGCTCTTCCCTAGCAATTCTTAAAAGTATATTTATGGTGATGCAAGTACTTGCTTTAGTTTGGCAAGATTTCTGTCTGGAGGTGAGGAATCAATAAAGGAAACCGCTCAGAAGTAATTCTACATGTCTTCCTTGGTCCTTGCAACCTGTCATACTGCAGTCATAAGCTAAAAAGATTCCTGCTGAATCAGGACTGCCACTCAGCACCTCTTCATATTGCAGTTAATTGTCAGATACAAATAACCAGGAACATTTGTTGGATTCAGAACAACGTTATTGTTGCAACCTATATACAACAATCCAGTCAACTAACGGTCAGTGCGAAATTGGTACTAGGTAAGGGTCAAGGGAATCCACAGTGGGCTGGACTTGGCTCTTTTTATAGCTGTGCAGTGACTCCAAGCTGGTGACACATTTAACTCCCCCTTCCAGTTCAGCCGGTTCCTCTCCTACAATGCAGGCAGTCCTAGAACTTACAACAGTTTGTTTAGTGACTGTTCCAAGTTACAATGGCACTGGAAAAAGCGACTTAGGACCGTTTTTCACCCTTACAACCATTGCAGCATCTTTGTGGTCACGTGATCAACGTTCAGACGTTGGGCTCATATTTATGACGGCTGCAGTGTCCCAGGGTCGTGTGCTAGCTCTGTCTCTGTGGTCCATCTTCTCCATAATCAGATAACTTGGAAGTCCCACCAGAATTTAGGCTTTGTGGAATGAGTCACTGGTGAGGGACCATGTTCTGCAGACTTTGCCAGATGGTGGCTCATCGGGGGTCTCCTTCTCCTGGCTGATTTCCCTTCCAAAGCATTCTGGGTCTGCTTTTAAGGAGTTTTGTGGCCCTGTACAAGTAGGTGATTAGTGTGCCTAATCATAATTGGTTCACAGATAGCTAGAGGGCAGCCTAGCCGGCACGGTGACTTTCAAGCTTGATAAAATCCTTGTGGTTCCTCTCTTTTGCGCCATAACCTCCATCTTTCATGATCTTCTCAAAACAAACAAACAAAAAAAGCAATTCTGGGCACTGACGTTGCACCCAGGAAAATAAAGGCATGATATTTATTTTGCTTTTAACGCTGCTATAAATGCAATCCTGTGACTGGAGGGGTTCAAATCTGGGATGTAAGTAATCCTGGAAAGGTCCATTGTAACTCTGAACTGGTAGTCACTCATCGGAGGAGGAGGAAGAAGAGGCTCAATGTCAGTGCTGGAAGCAAACCCCCAATCCCACCTAGCACTGATGGTGTTACCTGGTTGGGTAATGAAATGTCTGCATTAAGCTCAGAGACCATCACATTCAATCTCTCCGCAGGGGTTCTTTTGCCCCCCACCACCAGCTTCATCCTATAAGCACATCCATTTCCTCTCTTCCAGGATGACCTGCGGCAGAAAGTCCACCTCAACACCTTTGGCTTCTTCCAGGATGGATTCATGCGGGTCACCATCAACAACCTCTCCATCAAGTCAGTGGGGGAGAGCGACAAAAACATTCAGGTAAGTGCCTTTTGCCAAACGTTCGTCACACAATTGTGAAGGAGTTAACAAAAAGGAAATTCAAATTTGAACTCACTCGGCCCCTAAGAGTGGCTGTTTTTCAGGAGCCACATGGACAAGTAGATGTGCTTCCTTGGTAAATTGGATTTTAAATTTGTCTATTGTTGTGTCCTTTGCAAGCAAACGATATAATTTTCTCACATTAATAATGAATTACTCTTCCAATTTTAGTCCTGGGTCTTGGTTTGCAACTCTAGGCAGCTTGCGACAGTTCAAATAAACAAACCGCCAGGAATAAAGCCTACTAAAGTTAGCAATTTGGCATCTTTAGTGTCCTTTCTTTTTCTTACAGTCTAATGTCTTGCAAAGTGAGGGACAAAAATAGAATAGTTACAAAAAGTATCCCCAGTGGGTAATCAATTAGACCCTTTATAACATCAGGGTGGCAGCATCACAATTTTCTCAGAACCTGTTGGGAAAAAAGTCAGGTTTTCAAGGCTTTATGAAATAAAGAACAGAGTTGGGGGCTGTACAGATTGGTGGGGGGACCATCCCACAGGCATCCAATTTTCGTTAAGGTGCAAAATGTCATGTTTTACAGCATGGTTGAACCTTTGTGAGGCATTTTTCCAAACCTATAGACTTGAATGTTAACACTTTGTTAAAAATTTGTTTTTAGGTGGGCTTCAGTATAGATCGAACACAGAATGATGGATTTTCCACTAACCTGGTAAGTCACAACTTGATACTTGACTGCTATGAAACCCTTTGAACAACTGTCTCACTTAATAACAGAAATGTGGGGTCCAATTGTGGTCATAAGTCAAGAACTTCCTGTATCATGATCATACTGAGACCAGCTGACTTCAAAAGCCATTTTGATGCTGTTTCATTGTAGGGACCCTCATCCTATAATCTCTTGGGTTTTTTTTTTTTTTTTTTACAGAACGAAGAAGTGGATTATTGCATCTTGAATCAAAAGCCAAGCCGTGAGGTCTTGGTCATCATTCTTCTCCTGGATTTCTCAGAGAAGCTGTAAGGAATCTTGGGGAATTGGTGATGGCTGGGGAATTCTGGGAGTTGCAATCCACGCACCTTAAAGTTGCCACGGTTGAGAAATACTTGATTTAGAAGCTTTGTTTTTAATGTTTGCTGAGTTTCAAAAGCAATGAAACCAAATTAGCCTAACTAAAGTCTTTTTTTAAAAAAAAAAAATATATCAGACGACAGGGAAGATCCCAGTCATTTTGGTGAGATGCCTAAAAAGAAAGAATTTAAAAGATCACTCAAGTTAATTTGAGAATTAAAGCATGCCAGAGTCGTTCGTTCCCCAGGACAAACTGAATAAATTCTGTTTACATGACAAGTGTAATTCAAAGAAACCTGATCAATAAGGCAATGTCTCATTTTGGAATAAATTGTGCATGTAGACGAAAACTAAATTGGAGGAAATAATCATGTGACATTTGGGACATCAGATGCTCTTTTTTTGTTTTTTGTTTTGGCCTCTTTCGTTCAGCCTTTGATGGAAGCCAACTCAGACCTTGTCCTTGTCACCTGCAGGGTCAAAGTCAAGTTTGAAAATAAAACCCCACAATTGCCTGAAATCACCTTCAGCGAATCTCAAGCAACCGGTCCCCCGGGAATTGCTGATAAATCTGGTAAAGTTTTTTTTTTCCCCCAGCAAGATAAGACATGGCAGAACAGAGGGGAAGGGATGCAACACCATCTATGTCCTGTTTTGCAACACTGTTGGGCTGTCTAAAACATCCATTTTTTTTCCTTGCTGGACTTGTGTCTGACTTTGCTTTTCTTCACCTTTTAGAACCAAAACAGTCACTTAAGGACAATACGACGGAAGTTCAGGTAAGCAGCGACTGGATTTTCAAAGGAAGACGTAGTATTCTTTCTCCATCATGTATGCATGGCTGGGTAATTCTGGGAATTGAAGTCCACACATCTTCAGTAGGGTCTGGAGAATAGTTTGACCCCCTCTTTTTTGTGGCAGCCTTCAAATATTGGAAGTCTGTCATATCCTCCCTAGTTCTTCTCTTCGATAGGATAGAGATATCTAATTCCCTCAATTGTTCATTGTATGGTTTAGCCTCCAGATCCTTTATCATTTTTGTTGCTCTTCTCTGCACTCTTTCCATCTGCATCTTTTTTGTATTGTGGTGACAAGAATTTATACCTGTTGCTTCCGATCTGATTTGGCATAGCCATAAAACATGTTTTTTTTTTTATCTGCCAGGTGCTTGCTGAGCGAACGCACCCAATCCAAAGCGGGAACAATAGTTTTTCATTCCAGGTAGGTGGTTTTATTCCTCACGATTCCTTTTGTAACCTGAGCAGGCCTTGGCTTGGCTTGAAAGGGCCAGTGTGTGCCCTCCACTTGTCCAACAGGGTTGAGCTGCAACCATTTCCTCAAAGAAGAAAATGAATTTGGAATCTGTTTAAAACCTGGCCAGCGTCATCCTTTCTTCCTTCTGTGTGTTTTTCAGTTCAGCATCAATTCAAAGGAACAAGAAGGACTTTATAGTCTTTATTTTCACAAGTGCATACTGGGAAATGTGAGGACTGAACAGGTCCCCTTCAGCCTGGACGTAAGTTGGGATTTTTCCCCCCTTTTTTTCCTTCCAAGGATCAGCAGCCAAACTACCCAGAGGCATTTCATTGGCCCCAGATGAAACTCCTTATCAGAAATCTGTCTGTCTGTCGGTCTATTGATCTGTCGGTGACTCCTGTTCTGCTTGCAGATCTCAATCACTGAGCAAAATCCAAACAGTTACCTCTCTGCTGGAGAAATCCCACTTCCCAAGCTATACATTTCCATGGCAGTTTTCTTCTTTGTTGCTGGGGTCGTGTGGATCCACACTCTTCGGAAACTCAGGTAAAACGTGGGAACCGCTTCCCCAGATAGGCCTGCCAAAGCTTCACTCGGAGCCCATCAGTAAATTTATTGACTTTCAGTTGTCAATTTTGTCTCACAGGGCCGATGTTTTCAAGATCCATTGGTTAATGGCTTCGCTTCCTTTCACCAAGTCCCTTTCTTTAGTCTTCCACGCAGTAAGTTACCTCTTGAATAACGTCCAGGAATTGGCATAAACCATCTACAGATTACTTGGCTGCCTTTCTTTACTTCGTTTTATTTGCTTTATTTAGCAGCAACGTGTTTTACACTAAAACCTGAGTTCTTAGACTTTGGGTGCAAGAAACAACATTTTACTTTGGAATTCACTCTCCCCCAAGCAGTGATTTAAATTTATTTAAACAGTCGGGACCATCAACATCATTTATATAATTACGTAATATTTTTATATTCCTTGGTCAGTTTCATAAAAATGACGCTTAACTGCATACATTTGGATTTAACGGACATCCCCTTTTTACCAAATTGTCCACCAAATCAAAGCTTTATTTGTATTAGATTTATATTTACATGTTAATGTGTTTCTTCTTCTTTTTTAGAATCTTATTAGAATTGAAGGCTATTTTAGGAAAGCTTAATAGGAATAGGAAAGTTTAGTGGCTTAATACCAACCTTTGCATTAACATCTTACTCTTTTTCCCCTCCAGATCGATTACCACTATATCTCCACACAGGGCTACCCCATTGAAGGCTGGGCTGTTGTCTATTATATCACACACCTGTAAGTCTCTAGTGTCTGGTTATAGATTTATACCAGTCTAGTAGGGGTTAGTGGCAGCTGTGATATCCTAGATGCAAGACAAACCCTGTTTCTCCCGTTCAATAAAAACTTGCAGTTTTAAAATGGTTTCCTCCTACATGAGATTCCAGCGTGAAGATTGCCAAAATCTTATGAGGTTGTAATCAGTTGGAAAGGCAGCCTTCTGGACATCTGTTGTGAAGTTGTTAGATTTGTATCTGTGTTTTCATCCATTAGATTGGCATTTCTGCTCTCTCCTCCTGGTTCTTTCACAACGAGCCTTGAAGGTAGGCTGGGCCAGGAGAGAAAGCGATTAATCCAGAGTCATCCAGGAAGTTTCTGTAACAGATGTTGGACTTCTTCCTGGGTTTTTAGCCTAACCAGGATTCTTTTAATAAATGTTTAAACCAGGGGTTCCAAAGGTCAAGTTGCAAGGTGTTGAGCCACTGTTTCTCTCCCAAAATAATACCTAAGATTCCTTAAAAATATTTATTATTTTGCGTATGAGCCGTGTACTCTATCTTTAGGAGAGGATTGTCACTAGAGAGTTATCGGTTGTCTTTTGAACTGTGTTTGCTTGAGGACCACTTCAAACTACCAGGTGTGTCAATCTGTCGCTGTTGTGTGTGTGTTTTTAACCAGCTTAAAGGGCGCTCTGCTGTTCATCACCATTGCTCTCATTGGCACCGGCTGGGCTTTTATTAAGCACATCCTCTCCGATAAGGACAAGAAGATTTTCATGATCGTCATCCCGTTGCAGGTGAGATGGGCCAGGAAGTTCTCCGCTGGGATCGTTTTAAGCAGCACCCCCAATTTGTGCGTGACTTTGACTTCTTCTGCAACTCACAGTCCGCAGAAAAAGGTCACAAAAAAAGTGAACGTGGCTTCTGGCAGAGTCAACTGGGGAGACCAAATTCTCTTAATGACCGCATTTGTTTGCTTAATGACCAGAGTGATTTGCTAACAACCACTGCAAAAAAAAAAAAAAAAAGGTCACAAAATCAGGCATGGCTCATTTAATGACTGCATTGATTAGCGATGGATGTTCCAGTCCCAATTACAGTTGTGAGTCAAGGACTACCTTTCATTTTCCAAGTAAATAGAATAAATCCATAATGGTGTATGTATGTTAGACAAAGCGTCTATAACCAGGTATGCCGAGGCTAAAATCGAGCAAAAGTCAGCGTGTGCAGATTGTCACATTCAGCCTCCTTCCCTTTCTCAGGTCTTGGCCAACGTGGCTTATATCATCATTGAGTCTACAGAAGAAGGCACGACAGAATACGGGCTGTGGAAGGAGATATTTTTCCTGGTGGATCTTCTCTGCTGTGGAGCCATCCTCTTCCCCGTAGTATGGTATGTTTGCAGGAACTGAGGCCATTGGTTGGTTGCTTGGGGAAGGGCAAAAACTTTGCCTAAAGTAGGACTAGAACTCACCATCTCCTGGTGACTGGCCCAGAGTCACCCAGCTGGCTTTCATGCCCAAGGCAGGACTAGAACTCACCATCTCCTGGTGACTGGCCCAGAGTCACCCAGCTGGCTTTCATGCCCAAGGCAGGACTAGAACTCACTCAACCAGATTTATTAAAATTATTAAATCTTGTTAAGATTTCCCATGGCTTTGAGTGGAAGGCAAGACAGAGTTCCAACTCCCTTCAGGGACCGCCATACGTCTCTCTCCAGGGGAAGGAGCTGTGTGGTCATTAAACAAAGCAGCCTCGTGGGTGTCTCAACGATTGCAATGACCACTGACATTCCAGGCTCAGTTGTGACTTCCTGTCATGATGAGGAACTTTTGGGGTAGATCTTCCCTGCCAAGGCAACTAAACGGGCTCCATCCATCTGCTTTGAAAATATCTCACGTTCTCATGAGCGCTATGCCTAGAGAAGGCCAGTCCTCCCTTCGCTATATCGTAGGAGAGGAAAGGTGCAGAACAACCCCCCCAAAACTGTAGGCTTTCTAAGCAGACCTGCCACATATTTCTAGGCAAGAGTTGGCTTGAAGATCCTGCAGGGCGATCTGTCATTAATCCCCTGATCCTTCTGTCTCCTAGGTTGATCCGACACTTACAGGAAGCTTCTGCAACTGACGGCAAAGGTTAGTGGTTGATTTCCAATTTGGGGGTGTTCAGGTATTCTTGAGGTCCCGCCAGGTTTCTGCAGCCAGAGGTCCCAACCAACTTCCTTCCTGCCAGTATCGGTGAACATATTTTTTCGATTGCTAAAAAAAAATATTGGACCACTGCTTTTTTGGGAGTTACTACTCTCCACCTACTTTCTTGGCTCTGGAACCGGGAGATGGTGAGTTCTAGTCCTGCCTTGGGCATGAAAGCAGGGCTTTATTAATTTAGGCTCCCAAGACACCCCCCAAGAGTCAGCAGGATCATACACAAATAACATAGATAACGGAGGAAGGTCGGTGACGACAGTATCAGATATTTCTAACATCCCGCACAGAGGGAAGGGTGAGGCCCACACCTTCCTAACTGCAGTCAACAGAACGAGAGAAGGAAGAATTGGACGAGGAGTGGAATTACAAGCCAGGCAATCAAAGAGGCTAAAATATCCCAGTGGTTTAATCCAATTTTAGCTGGGCTGAGTGTTTTCACCCTTCGTTATGCTAACCCGACCTCAAGAAAAATCTTCCCTTGCCTGGAGGATAAAGCGCCGGCTGCTTCTTGCCCTTGATGGGTAGGGGATGGTGGCTGCCTCCCTTCACCCTGCCAAGTCCTGGCGACTCCTCCAGCTTCGCCCTTGAAACTACCCAGGTGTGGATTTCTGGGGAGGAAGAAAACCGGAAACCGTGAGCCCGAGGTCTGTTCTTCCAGCTCTTTGAGAGCTGGGAGAGAAACCAAGATTATTTATAGCTGCACATCAAAGCCTTGAATTTTGAACCGAGGCAGCTGAGTCCCTCAGCACTGAGTGCAGAGGTTCCCGCCTCAGCTTGCTCCAGTGCCCATTTTATAACCACACAGATAGTCCTTTTCTGTCTCTTAATTTCCTCTAATTGTGAATTCTTTTCAGCAGCTGCCATTAACTTAGCAAAATTGAAGCTCTTCAGACACTATTATGTCATGGTAAGGAGTTATGGGGGCGTGGGGGTGTGGTAGTGGAGGGGGGGTTCCCCTTTTTTTTCACAAATGAAGGAAGGAAGGAATAACCCAGATTCCTCTTTAAATGGAAACTATCAATTCCTCCCCAGGGATGATTTAAACTAGGGGTGCCCAATCTTGGTAACTTTAAGGCCTCTGGACTTCAACTCCCAGAAGTCCCCAGCCAGCATTCCAGCATTCCCCAGCTCCATGGTTGGCTGAGGGATTCTGGGAGTTGAAGTCCACAGGTCTTAAAGTTGCCAAGGGCCTCCTTGTTAAAAACTCAAGAGCTCCTAGTTTTCCAAAATTATCCGGTAACAGGAGAGAGTTGACCAGGACAACTTTCCATCTTGCCTGCCTTGGAGAATTCTCACCACGTCTCCGATAATGGAAAGAGGCCTGTTTTATTTTCCAAATATTTTTGGCCATCTTTCAAGTGCCAGGGCCCCATCTCAAGCCCACTGGACTGCCATATGAGAAAGAGATGGACCCAGAAGTTTTGGGACGGGATCATTCTAGGTTGACCTGGATTCTCTGCTGGGAACCCGACTCTGTTCCGTCCTGCATCGCTGTCCTCACGACATAATCTCTCCTGTCCTGGAACTAACTTCTTCCTCCCCTCCAGATCGTGTGTTATATTTACTTCACCCGAATCATCGCCATCCTCATCAAGATTGCGGTTCCGTTCCAGTGGAAGTGGCTTTACAAGGTAGGTGGCCCTTCCTCCATTCCCCTTTTCCTCCAAGGAGACACTATTCATTTATTTAGCACATAGCCTAGAGCACCAGCAGCGCCCAACCTTTTGGGCACCTGGGACCGGTTCTGGGGGGAGAGGTTTTTCCATGGACCAGAAGGGGGGGGGGCTGGTTTTGCTTGCTGCCTGCATCCCACCGATGGGGCTTGACTTGATTGTGCGGCCTGGTTTCTGGGAAGCTGCAGCCTGGTGACTTGGGACCGATTTTTCACACGACCGTCGCAACATCCTCGTGGCCACGTGATCAAAATTTAGATGCTTGGCAACTGGCTCGTATTTATGATGGTCGCAGCATCCCCTGGGTCACGTGATCCCCTTTTGCGACCTTCTGGCAATCACAGTCAATGGGGAAGCCAAATTCACTTAACCACCGTGTGCAGTGACTCACTGAAGAACTAAGCAAGGCCGTAAAATGGAGCAAAACTCGAGATAGCGGTCTCGTTTAGCAACTGAACTCGGGGGCTCCTGTAGGGTCTTAAGTCAATACATTCCCTTCTGTGATCCAATGTCCATCAAGGGGCACCACCGTGACATTCAGGGGGCTCTGCCCATCTTCAGCAGACAGTCTTGGCAGGTGCCATGCAAGCTGCAGACCCTATTTGGAGCTTTCCAGCACGGATGGGTGGCATCGAAACCCACTAATTTTTGTATCTGTTCAGATACATTTTTTTTCTGGAATCTATACATTCGGCAGTCCAATTAGCTGAACAGACTGAATTTCCGCACCAGGAGCCGCTAAAACGAACAGCATTAAAACCAAGCATTGATTACATTCTGCAAACTGGCATTTTCTACAAGCCGCGGCTTCTTTGAGCTCCAATGGTTTGTCGCAGCCTTCAAGGGCGCTCCATCGTTTCCAGCAAAGTCTCTGAAATTGTAGACGTGAAGAATTAAGGCACGTTTCATTGAATGCTCGCTGGCTCCCAACGGACACGATCCGTCTTGCTCAAGAACGGGGGGGGGGGGAGGAAGGGGGGAGGAAGGTCAAAGAAAAAGAAGGCCTCCCTTGATCGCTTAGGAAGCTGCTGCTTCAGCCTGTGAAATTTTTTGGAAAAACATCCATAGCTTTCCGAGGCTCATTGACAGACCTACTTCTGCATCTGTTGATTGATGCCAGTTTAGGACCTGCGATCTGTTTTTTTCCTCTCTCAGTTTTTAAATTTTGTTCAAATCTGAAAGAAAAAAAAGAGAGAAAACAAAACTAGACAAAAACGTTTAAAAAGTGCGAATAAAGAAAAAAAAACCACACATCCGTTGAACACCGATGGATATTTTGTCCCAAAGGTGGTTTTTCAAGAGGCAGCCAGACATGGTTCCTTGAAGAGGTTTCACTTCTCACCCGAGAAGCCTCTTCAGTTCTGAAGTGAAGAGTGATGAACTGAGGAAGCTTCTTGGATGAGGGGGTGAAACAACTTCAAAGAAAAATCGAAGTCCAGTGGCCTCTTGAAAAAGCAGCTTTGCGACAGCCGTGACCTGGATGACGGAGAATCTCCATGGACATTCAGCTACGATAAATCTATTGCAACGATAATAAATCCCCCCCCCCCACTTGCAAAACAGGTTGAAAATTTATAAGCGTCTCCAGGTAATCCTCCAACTTACAGCAGTTCATTTAGTGACCGAAGTTAAAACGGCCGTGAAAAAAGTGAAGGCCATTTTTCACACAGCTTACCTTGCTGCAAAGGTGGACGTTGCGTGTCACAAGGTCGCAAAAGGGGATCACGCAACCTTGGGACACAGCAACGGTCCTAAGTAGGAATCAGTTGCCAGTTTTGATCACATGATTGTGGGGGATTCTGCAAAGGTGGGGAAAACGATCGTAAGGTTTTTTTTTTTTTTTCAGGGCCGTTTTAACTTTTTGAACGGTCCCTAAGTGAGGTGTTGTGAGTTGAGGACTGCCTGTATTCACAGCAGAATTTCCTCCAGCGCAGCCTTCTCCAGATGTGCTCTCTTTCTGTTGTTGCAGCTGTTGGACGAAATGGCGACTTTGGTGTTCTTTGTCCTCACTGGCTATAAGTTCAGGCCGGCCTCTGACAACCCTTATCTGCAGCTCTCTCAGGAAGACGACAGTTTTGACATGGAATCTGTGTGAGTTAAGAGCGCTTTTGGGTTGCCTTCCTATCCTTGGGCGCCTGGACCCCGGGGGGGGGGGTCTTACCTGGGCAGGTGGGGTCAATCTGTACCATGCTAGGAGCCCAGTAGTAACCTGATAGGCTAGGTCAGGGGTAGGCAACCTTGGCTCTTTTATGACTCGTGGACTTCAACTCCCAGAATTCCTGAGCCAGCTGAAGTCAGGAATTCTGGGAGTTGAAGTCCACAAGTCATAAAAGAGCCAAGGTTGCCTACCCCTGGGCTAGGTCACCAGCAGAATTACAGAATCAGAGAATTGGACGCTGGGGGTCTTCTAGTCCCTGAATAAATTCAGTTTTTTTTTCTCCTTCCCAGGGTGACCACCTCGGGTGTCATGGAGGGTATGAAGAAAGTCAAGAAGACCGCCAACGGCTCAGCGGAGCCCCACGGCGAGAGAGAGAGCGCTGCCTGACGCTCTCCTCCTTCTCGACACACTCCTCCCGTCTTCCTCCCCCTCTCTTAGGACAAGGCGGCACTTTCCAGCGAACTGTAATTTATTGATCCTTCGCTTCCCTCCCTCCATGGCACAGAAGCAAAGAGACGACCTTCCCAGTGTAAAAAGAGAAAGAAAAAAAAACAAAACACCACACACACACACACACACACCCGCAGACGTTGGGCTTGGGTGGTGGTGGGTGGAAAGAAGGATAAAAATACAGCCAAGAAAAGAGAATCCAAAACCCGGTTTTGTTCCTCTGTCTTAAGGACTGGGTTTTTCTTCTGGTGCCTAAGTGGAAGGGTTGAAGGATAGATAATGGTGGTGGCTTTCTTTATTTTTTTAAGAAAAGTCTTTTTACTTCCCTCTTTCCCTTCCTCTCTCTGTCCCTCTCTCTCTCTCTCTCTCTCTCTCTCTCTCTTTCCTTCTTATCCCTTCCTCCCTCTTCCTCATTCTCTCTCCCTCCCTCTCCCCTCCCCTCTCTCTTCCCCTCCTCTCTCCCTTTCATTGTCGTTCTTCGGAACATGAGCTCTGTTGGGCTACTGGATGGGGAAGCGGCGGCTTTGAAACACGATGAGAGAGGTGTGCAATCCGCGTTGCTTCCCAAAATGTAAAAAATGGGGTGAAGGCCTCGGGAGGCGAATGGGAAGCTTTTGTGTGTGTCCTTTGGTGGCTGGTTTGGATGCTCCCTGCTGCGTTTAATCATTTCCCCCTCGGTTTTTTGCTTCTTTCAGCTTTCATTGGAACGGAGGGCGAGGGGAGGCCTTCCCGTTCTCGTACCGCAGAATCAGAAGCTGGTTTTATTTTGAAAAACGACTGCTTCCGTCGGTGTCCGTAGCCTGGGTGAACACCTTCACTCAGTTGTCTGGAATGTATGCAACAGCGTGAAAGTTTAAATAGTAAATTATTACTAATTTTTTTCTTCCATTTCTCTTCATTGTAAAGTGGGGAAGGGTTTGTAATCCGTGGGAAGAAAATGGCATTATAAAACTCTTAAAACAAGTCCTGCATAATTTACCGAATCTTGGAAATTCCTCTCTTTACACTCTGTAAAACTGTTGCATATTTTGGACTCTCAAATCCCAGCACGTATTCCTGGAAAAGAAGGGGGGGGGAAGGCCACTGGCTTTAGTTGACTCTACTCTTTCTGTAGCACAGCCAGTCAAAGACAACAGCTGATGCAATTGCAACCTGCAACACGTGTAGATGGGTCAATGGATGCGCGCGTGACGACATCAGAAAAAGTGGGTTTTTTTTTTTAATCCCTTGTTCTTAATTCCTCCTGCTCTCCTGGACAACGCCGTATAATTCAATAAAGGCTGTGTTCACCCATCCTGCTGAGCCACAGATCATGGTTTAAAAGCCATCATGGTTAAGCTGAAACCAATCAGTTTTGCTGTGTGAACTGGGCTGTCAATGTGAGCCATAATGTGGCTCTCTTTTAGCTTTTTGACTTGATGTGTAGGGTGAATTTAGCCATTGTGGGCTCGATGGCTTGGGATGGGCTCGTTGGCTTAGACTGCCAACATGTAGGCATTGGCAAGACCTCTGGCCTTGTCTTCTGTGAAATTAAGCAGAGCTAGTCAAGATTGCAAAATCTGAAGGCGTGTTGTGTTATCTTTTTGTGGGAAAGGGCGCTTTAGTTCACACACAAACTTCCCCGGTCGAGATTTTGGATAGTTGGTTCTCCTAACCTAGAGCCTAGATAATGCAGTGGTGTTGCATCAGATTGGGGGAAGTTGTCATAAGCATAGAGAGCATCTTGGCTAGAGGAGATGAACGTTGGCTGGAAAGCAGAGTGGTTTCACAGCTCTTAGCAAGAAGGCAGAACTGAGTTTGTAATCGATGGATCTTTTCTGATTCCAGCACCTGAGTGAATCTACTGCTGACTGTATCTATCCCAGAGATCTAGGATGCCTTGGGCAAGGATATTGTTTAAGCTTTATTGGTAACCCTTCTTGCTAAGCTTTTGTTTCACGTTAAGCGTTATTGATTAACGTATTAAGCTCTATAGCTAATCCTCCTGCGGGTTAAATTCTGTTACTCATTCTTCTCGTTAAACTCTGTGGCTAACTCTTCTTAAGCTCTATAGCTAATCCTTGTTAAGCTCTATAGCTAACTTTTCTTGTTAAATTCTATGGGTAACTTAACTTGTTAAGCTCTATAGCTAATTTTTCTCCGTGTTAAGCTCTACGACTAACCCTTCTTGTTAAGCTCTAAGGCTAATTTTTCTTGTTAAGTTCTATAGCTAAGCATTGTCCTTAAGCTCTATAACTAAGCTCTAGAGCTTAACGAAGCTCTAGAGCTAACTCTTCTTATTAATCTCCTTCCCCTGGCTCTTGTTTCTCTCTTCGGCTGTGGCTGAAACTGGCATCGTAGTCTGAACCGATCAAATGCCCAAACAATCCCAACAGTTGTGTGAGTGCAGGAATATGTTTCAGGTTGCTGTCTTCTCTGTAAATCTGCAAGATACTTTGCCTGGTTCAGTGACTCACACAGTCCATCCCGAGAGATGTCTAGAATGTGTATAACTTGTTAGTGAGGATAGGACAGAACTATACCGTAAACGGTCAGCTTGTAAAGGCTAAAGGAAGCCACGCCTTGGTCCGGTTTTGAACCGGACTTTGGTGGCCTCACCTTCACGGTGCGACTTTTCCTTCCACTGGCCAAGCCCCAGATGTGGCTTCATTTTGCGCTGGGTGCAGGACGAAGTGGGTTTTATTAGTGAAAAGGTTTTTTTGAGGGGGCAAGGGGGAATGTCTTTGCAGGCCAGGCAGTTCCCCAAATGGCTGAGAGTATTGAGCTGCTGCTTAGCCTTTGAATAAATGTCCACCCGTCCTTCCAGCGGACCTCTGGGGACCCCCTAATGGCAGCTATTCTCCAGCTGTTGCACATTATACCCCTTCCCTCCCTTGAAAAAGTTGCCCCTGTACCCTCTCAGCCCTCCTGTCCCCCAATATCACCAACCTTCCCAGGGAAAACGTGTCTACAAAAGAGGTTTGGTGCATTGCAGCATTTTCACGATGCAACCTGGTTAGGAACGGAGAACGCTCTGTCTCTCCCCCCCGCTCTTGCTTTCCCTGAAGCAAGCAGGACAAAACTGGAGGTGGAAGCCGTTGAGGATCTCCTTGAGTGTACAATGCCTTAAAGTAAGCCATCAACTTTCCTGTCCCTGCCAAGACCAGCCCACTGGTGCCCGAGGGGGCGGCTGTTGCTTTTTTTTTTTCCCCTCCCCTGTTTGGGCATTCTTCCATTTTGGAAACTGGCAAAAATATCCTTCGGGGCTCAGGATGGGATGCGAGGGTGTTAGGACACGGGAAAGGCTGATCTTGGGTCTGGGAGAAGTCACGTTTTCCTCTCTGATTTTCCAACTCCATCGGTTGTCTTCACAGGTCCAGAATTCCAGAAAAAGAGACTTTGTGAGCACCGGTTTCTCCTAATCCGTTCCTTGCTGGGACAAGGCAGGTTCCAGGGCTTTTCAAACCAAAGTTTTGATTTATTTAGAGACTGCTTGAGATAGGAACTGATAGAGCAACGTTTATCAACTTTGGCAGTTTTACAACGGATGGACTTCAGCTCCCAGGATTCCCCAGCTAGCATGCTCAAAGATGGGTGGAATTCTGGGAGTTGAAGTCCGCTTGGAGTCTCCAAGTGGAGATTTTTCCTCCCCGTTTTTCAAGTTTCCTTCCCACGGCGGGTTTCATATACAGCACCTCTTGCGTTATTTTTTTTTTTTATTCTCCCAGTGAGTTTTTTATGCATTTTTCTAGTCCATTCCTGAAGATTTGCGTATCGCACTTTAAAAGTTAATCCAAGAAAACTTTTAAACAACAGAAGGACCAGTTCAGTCCTAGGAGAAAAAAAAACTTCCTGGTTCAACTGGCAATAAAAGCTTATTGATTCTTTTCCTCTCTTCCCATTTCACTTCAAGGAGGGAAGCATAAAACCCGACACTCTCTTTTAAGACCTCAAAACCTCCCAATTTCTTTTAGAAAACAAAAGAAAATACATTTGGGGCTTTTTTAATGGGGAAATTTCGTTTAGGATCTTGAGGGGGGGTTGGTCCTTTTTTAATTTCCTTTTTTTAAAAAAAAATACAAAATAACAGTATTTGTGTGATAGGGGCTAATAACAATTGAGGGCTTTAATTTCCTCTCTATGTAATGTGGTTTCCCTGCTATGGAACAGGTGTATAAATTAAAGAATTCATAACGAAGCACGTTTGGCCTCTGATTCCCTTCTTTGCTTGGAGGTGGGGAAGTGTGTGAGTTTTCTTTTTCTTCCTAGGCAGAAATAACTATTTCTGGCATTTTGGGTTATTCAAAAGAGAGAAGCAACCTGGAATTAAGGAGAAACTTCCTGACAGGACAATCAACCAGTGGAACAGAAGTTGCCTCCAGAAATCGTGGGCGTTCCATCGCTGGAGGTTTTTAAGAAGAGACTGGACAGTCACTTGTCTGAGATGGTATAGGTTCTCCTGCTTGAGCAGGGGGCTGGACTAGAAGACCTCCAAGGTCCCTTCCAGTTTCTATTCTAGAAGTGGGATTCAGTCTGCCAAAAAAAGGGGAGGTCAACCTATTCCCCAAAGCACCTGAAGGCAAGACAAGAAGCAACGGATGGAAACTTACCAAGGAGAGAAGCCAACCTGGAACTAAGGAGAAATTTCCTGACAGTGAGAACAATTAACCAGTGGACCGACCTGCCTCCAGAAGTTGTGGGTGCTCCATCACTGGAGGTTTTTAAGAAGAGATTGGACAGCCATTTGCAATAGTATTGGGTCTCCTGTTTGAGCAGGGGGTTGGACTAGAAGACCTCTAAGGACTCGTGCTATTCTCACTCTGTCCCCTGTAAATTAATACTGGGTTCTGCTAATGAAAAGGAGCTTCCAAAGATAGCCTTCAACTTAAAATCATAACAAAGCCTGGAATTTCCCTCCTAAGTCAAGACAAGTCGTAAGTTGAGGCACCCTACATGAGCAAGAAGAGATTTTTAAAAAGCTTAAGTGAGCCGTGATTTTCGGATGATTGTCGGGCTGACCTTCTGAAACAAGAAATTTGCCCCCTTTGCCTGTTCATGGAGCCCGCAAGACCCATCGGAAGATTTTTGTGGCTGGCTAGAGTTATTTAAGATCAAAGTGGCTTAAAAAGCCTTTGCAGCGCTCCCAAGCAGGCTCTCTTTCCTGCAATTTTATTTTATGGATTTGATTTCCCTTTATAAGTAACTCAAGGCAGAGAACCAGCCTAATACTTGAATCCCATCCGATGGGAAAGAACCCACTGGGCAAGATTTTGCCTGGCTATTCATTACAAAAAATAAAATAAAAACCTGGGAACCCATCCCTGCTGCAGCAGTCCCAGAACAGTGGCCCCAAAGGCCTTCCGCCTTAAACGTGGCTCAACCTGGGGAATGGCTGCCCTGAAGATGCTCTTTCAAGAGGCAACTGGACTTCCTTTGTTTCTCCCTGGAGACGTTTGGTTTGTCATCCAAGAAGCTTCTTCGGTCCTGAGAAGAGAAACCTCTGCAGGGAAAAATAAAGGAAGTCCAGTTGCCTCTTGGAAAAGAACCTCTGGGGCAATCCTGACCTGGATGACTGAGAATCTCCGTGTTCACTGGGGGATGCTGCAACCAGCTTTCCTATTGGGCCGAAAAGTCTGGGGACTCAGCCTGGGGCTAAGCAGATTTGGGAGGAAGCTGATCCCAAGCGCCAGCCTGGCCTCGCCCACCCACCCACGCGCCCCTTTCAAAGAGCTGGCGAGGGCGGGTCTCGTCCGTCCTTCCCTCCTTCCTTCCTTCCTTCCTTCTTCCCACCGGCCGGCGCCCGCCCCCAGTCCAGGCTCCGCTTCCCGGGAACCCGCCGCATCGGGTTCTGCAACTGGCGCCCGCGGGTGGTAAGTAGCCAAAGCGCGCTTGGTAAGCTTCGGGGACCTCTTTGTTAGAGGCGGCGGGGAGTCTGTGCGGCCAGGCTCTTTAGTCCCCCCCCCCCGTCTCCAGCTCCACGTGGCCTCCTTTGCCCCCCCCTTGCAAAATTAGGCTGTCTGCCTCTGCTCCCCCCTCCCTTCGTCATCCGAGCGGCGCGCCTTCGCCTCGCCTTGCCAAGAAGGATGACGCGCAAAAGCGCATCAACGGGAAATGGGGAAGATGGCTTGGGGGGGAAGGGCAGATCCGTTTCTCGACAGCTCTTAGTATTATTATTAGGATAAGGATAAAAATTGCGGGAGGGGAGAGAGGTTTTTGGGTGGGTGGGTGGTTTCAAGCCCTCCTGATTTCATGAATCTATTTGCCTCCGAAGTTTAGACAGTAATACAAAAACAATTTGGAAAGGTTTTCTTCTATTTTTTTTAAAAAGCATTTTCTCCGATTTGGCCGTTAACCAACTAAGGCCTCCTTAGCTTTTTCAGAATGAACCAAAGCTGACGAAGGTGAATACAGGTAGTCCTTGACTTACAACAGTTCATTTAGTGACCGTTCGAAGTTAAACGGCATTGAAAAGTGTGACTTATGCCCAGTTTTCACAGTTATAACCTTTGCAGCATCCCCGTGGTCACATGATTAAAATTCAGATTAAAATTCTATAAAATATATAGAAGAAATGGGCAGGGCCTTGCCATCTTTACCCCCCCCCCAGGGTAAAAATCAAAACACTGGCCTGATTTATAGACTCTTACCCCACTGGCACTGGCAGAGGAGCCATGCTGTTGGCCAAGGAATTCTGGCTCCTGGAGTACAGAATAACAGAGTTGTGAGGGACCTTGGAGATCTTCTAGTCCAACCCCCTGCTCAGGCAGGAGACCCTATGCCCTTTCAGATAAGTGGCTGTCCAGTCTCATCTTGAAAACCTCCAGTGGTGGATCACCCACAACTTCTGAAGGCAACTCATTCCACTGATTAATTGTTCTCACTGTCAGGAAATTTCTCCTTAGTTCCAGGTTGCTTCTCTCCTTGATTAGTTTCCATCCGTTGCTTCTTGTCCTGCTTTCTGATGCTTTGGAGAATAGTCTGATCCCCTCCTCTTCTTTGTGGCAGCCCCTCAGATAGAAGGGCAAAATTCTAAATTCTGTTCCTAGAGATTCAGACGTAATGGCAGTAGTAATGGGTGATTATATTAATGATGATAGTGTAAAACTCCTGTTTTGTGTTATCAGACTGCAGCATCTCTCTGATCTTGACTAGTCTTGACCAAGCCAAATCGAGCTGTCTACTTCTTGGACAAAAGACCAAGTGGAAATCGGTATGATTTTTTTTTGTTGTTAGCCTCTTAAAAGGATTAGAGATGAGAGGTAAAATTATTGAGATGGAAAGAAAAAAAGGAAGGAAGGAAGGAAGGAAGGAAGGAAGGAAGGAAGGAAGGAGGGATCTCTCCAGCCACTTGCAGCTTCCCTGGCTTCCTCTTCCCTCCTTCCATTCAGTCCCCAAGAAAAACAGGAGAGACAATCTAAGGAAGAACAGACTCTGTTATTTCCCTGGCCATCTTGCTCCTAAATAAGTACAGAAACTTCACACTTCCTCCAGATAAATCTCTGCCTTGAAAGGCATTTAAAAAGCCAACTCTTTGGAACAATCTGGTGCGGATTGGAGAACCTTTGCAGAGGAGCCTTTTGTTTCTCTTGGCATCTCTTCCTTGCATAATATCTTGACTAAAATTTGGTCTCCTATCTTTTCTGGAGTCTTTACGGCTCAACCCTGCAAATTTTGGAATGGAACCTGACATACTGTGGCAGAGCAAGGATAATTTAATCCCTTTGGACAGGACTTGGCTTTTACATCTTCTTGCTCAGAAGACAGAATTTCTTTATTGCATCCATCATTCCTGGCCTGGCAAAATTTATCAAAACAGGCAGAGGGCTTTTCAGTAGTCTAATCAGCTTTTCGACAAGGGCTGTGTGGCCGAGCCAAAATCCTTTGATGGTTCTAAGAAGACAAAATCAACGAGGCTGATGTGGGAGCTGTCCAAGGTCCTGATTTCAATAGGCCTTCACACCATGATTTGAGATTTTAGTACCGGCAGTCCTCGGCTTACAACTATTCATTTAGTGACCGTTCAAAATTGCAAGGATGACTTATCACTTACGACTGTTTTTCACACTTACGATTTTTGCAACCCGACCATCACAAGGGAGAGGACCCTTTGTAAGTCACCTTTTTCTGTGCCATTGAACAGTCACTATGAATGGTTGTAAGTCAAGGACTACAAGTTGAGTATCCAATTTTGCTTTTCCTTTTCTGAGTCACAATTTTTTTTAGCTGCTACAAAAGTTAGTTGGGTCATGAAATGTCTGCAAGAAAACAACCAAGCTCAGAGCTACTGTATATAAACAGGGAGCAAGTCACACTCACTAGCCCTGAGGATATTCCCTAGCTGGGTCACGAAACGTCTGCAAGGAAACAGCCAAGCTCAGAGAGCACCAAGGACCCCACAATAATCTTCCTCCTCCTCCTCTCCGTAAACCCCATTCGCTTCTAGCACTGATGATGTTACTTAGTTGGGTCATGAAACTTCTGCAAGGAAACAGTCCAGCTTAGAGCTACTTTACAACATAAATAGGGAGCAAAGCCCCCATTCCCTCATCCTGGAGATGTCACCTAGTTGGGTAATGTAACACTTGCAAGCTCAGGGAACACCTAGGTTCTGAGCTGCAGAGATGCCTCCCTAAATTACAGCTTTCTTTTGCAAAAGGGTTGATCTTGAGGGCAAGCCTCTTGATGCGAGCATGTTGTGTTCTTTCCCCTTCCCTGCCTCCCCCACCCCCCTTTCAAGGCTGATCGATCGAGGGGCACCAAATACAGCCGAGCTGGAGAAGACAAAAGACAGGCAGGCAGCCCACCCATCCGCCCTCTTGGGCTTCGTCCCTTATTGGTGCAAGATCCGAGCCGCCTCGTAGACTATAGCAACCCAACGCAGCAGCAGCAGCCGCCGAGCAGAGCCGGGAGGGCAGGAAAGAGAGAGGAGGGCGTTTGTAACCAGGGACGACCGCAGCAACACTTGGCACGGCTCTGGGGAAGAGAGAGAAAGGGAAAGCTGAGCGGAGAGTCGGTTCCTTTGCAAAAACAAGCAGGGGAAAAAGGAAGCAGAAAGAAAGAAACCCATTCATTGTCAGCCTTCAGCTTGCTGGGTTGGCCTCCTCTGCCTTTCGACTTCTTCCTCTCTCGTCTCCTATTCTTTTCTTTTGGGGCTGCAAATAGCTCCCCCCCCCTCCAGTCCGTTATGGAGCTGAGGGCTGCTTATCATCTGCAAATGCTCCCTTGAAGACCTCCCCCCAAGAAGGACTTCTCGGAGCCCCTGGATTGCAGCACAAGGCGTCCTCTTCTCCGCTGCTCCCAGCTGGCTTCTCTCCTGCGGCTTGTGGGGATCGCAGGAAGGCCGAGAGGGTCCGATTTAGAGGGCCAGGTGGTCCCTCTCCCCCTGGACTTTGCCCCCCTTTCCGCAAGCTTCCTATATGAGTCTTCCTCCCGCCACGGAGAGCTGTCGGGCCCAATTGATGCCTTGCTGAGCCTGGAAGAGCCATTCACCACCATGGGCAAATCAAACAGCAAGTTGAAGCCTGAAGTGGTGGAAGAGCTGACTAGGAAAACATACTGTAAGTCTCTCTTTCTTTTGCCTTCTTTTCTCCCCTTCCTCCTTCTTATTCCTTTTACTTTTTTCTCTTTCTCTCCTTCCTTCCTTCCTTCCTTCCTTCCTTCTTCTCATCTCTCATTCCCATCACCTTCCTTCCTTCCTTCCTTCCTCTCCCCATCCCCCATCTCCCATCTCCTCTCCTTTTCCTTTTGCAGTTTTCTAGACCTACGGGAGACCCCTGGGCTCAAAAGACCTCGATTCCTTCCTCTCTTTTCTGGGGTGGGGGTGGGGATGAAGATGCTCTGTGTGTGTGTGTGCGTTGTGTTGTGCTCCACCTAGGAACAATTCGGCTCTAGCAAGCCCAGGGCCAAGCAGGGAAAGGAGCAGCGGCAGAGCAGCCAGGGGGAGTCTGCTTCGGTTCCATGGTGCAATGTGCTGCATTGCTTTATAGAGGGGAGGGGGGGAGCTCCCGTTGGGGTGTTATTATTGTCAGGGCTGCAGGAAGAGAAGGAACAAGGAGGGGGGGGCTTCTCTCTCTCTCTCCCTCCCTCTCTTTCCCAGTGATTCATGCAGCTCCTCGCCCGGAGAATCTGGCACCTCCTTTGGCTTCTCCTGGGGTGGGCGGGGGGCTGGCCAGAGCTGGAAAGGAGCCACGCGGGCAGGCACATGCCAGGGAAGGGAGAGAAGGAGCAGAGATATGGGGATAGGTGTAGGAGAAAAAGGAGGAGAAGGGAAAAAGGAAGAGGAATAGTAGGAGGAGAAGGAAGGAGGGAAAGAGAAGGAAGAGGAGGAGGAGGAGGGAGGGAAGAGGAGAGGAAGGAGGAAGGAGACAAGTAGGAGGAGGAGAGAAGGAAGAGGAGGAGGGAGAGAAAAGATGAGGAGGAGGCCCCATACGTAGGGGGTGGGGGGTGAAGGTGGTGATGGCTGCATTTAATTCTTAGACATTTTCAGCCTTGGGGGGGCCACTTTTGGATACCCATCTTCCCAGCTTTCAATGCTATTTGCAATTTGAAAATGGGGGCGGGGTGGGGAGCTGTCCAGAATCTGGCTAGGGGGGAGGGGGAGAGGGAGAAGCAGAAGGGGGGGAGGGGCAGCCAAAATGCATCCCACGTATTTATTTCACTGATATCCCGCCCTCTATTATTTTTTTTAAACAACTCGATGATGCAAAAACCCAGTCGAAGAATTCTGCTTTGTTTTCCTCGCTTCTGTCGTGAATTTTTTCTTCTTCTTTATTTTCTTTTCCTTCCCCAACACTGTTTTTTTTTTTTTTTTTTTTTGCAGTCAGGGCCCTCCGTTTGGTCAGCAAATGGGGCTCCCCCTCCTGAGCAGCTTCTCTCCCCCTTCCCCCTGTTGCATCTCCAAAACTACAAAACGGCTTGGCCAACTTTGAGGGGTTTTGCAGCATTGAAGTGTCCCTTGACTGGGAAACGTGAATTTGGGGTATTAGATTGCAGAGATTCTGGCTGGTTTCAGGCTTTTCCTCCCCTTCCTGCAGGGATCAGTCGATCAAGATCTGTGGTGAGAACTGAACATGTTCTTTGGGTCTGGTTTGGTGTTTGGCTCACTTGCTCGAGTGACCTGTGTTTACTACCTGGGCGGTTTAGTTGCTAACCAGCTGATGTTAGATCTATCCAGTATTTCCTGGGCAGGAAATTGCGTTGTGGGTTTCCTCTCCTCTCCTCTCCTTATCACCTGAATTACACACAGGTTAATAGAAAGATAATAATAGTTCTTCTTCTTCTTTTCCTTCTTCCCTCTACACTAAAAAAATGCAACCTTTTGTTTAGTGATCATTTGAAGTTACAACACCATAGGAAAAAGTGACTGATGACCATTTTCATACTTATGACTGTTGCAGCATCCCCAGGGTCACGTGATCAAACGTCAGACGCTTGGCAACTGATTTCTATTTACGACGGTTGCAGTGTCCCAGGATCCCCTTTTGAGCGAAGTCAACGGGGGAAGGCAGATTCACTTAACAACCGTGTGTCTAGCTTAACGACTGCAGCGATTCGATGAACAATGTTGGCAAGGAAAGTCATGAACGGGGGCAAAACTCACTTAACAACTGAGGACTTGCAGGAGGACTCCTGTCAGTATTTTGCAGAATGAGTTTTTGGAAACTGACCCCCCCAAAAAACGCATCGGATAGCTTTCTCCTGACTTCCTGATTGACACGGGAGTTTCACAGTTTCCGCCAGGATGAGCTGGGAGGCGGTAAAGTTTTCCCAAGAAAAGCTGGCATCCGTGTCTCCTTCATTTGCATACGGCTGCCGTAGTGATGAATATTTATTACAAATACGATTACTCCTGCTTTGGAGACAGCTCAGAGTGGGGCATAATAAAACTAGATAAGAACGGCCATAAAACCAAGGCCCATAAAAGAGAGCCATAAAACTCCATGTAGCACAACGGGAGCTCAGTTTACAAGGCCCATCGCATTTCTTGGATCAAGGTGGCTCTGGAGATTTTGAAGTTTTGAACCTGCTGGTTTCTCTCCTGCGTTTCAATGTCTTGGCTTCTTGGGAGTGGGACGTTTTTTTTGAAATTTGCTAGTGTTTGGTCCTGAATATCCTCCTCCTGACCCTGGGATGCTCCAACCATTTAACAGAGTTGGAAAGGACCTTGAAGATCTTCTAATCTAACCCCCTGCCCAAGGCAGGAGACCCTATACCCTTTCAGACAAGTGTCCAGTCTCTTCTTAAAAGCCTCCAGTGATGGAGCAGCCACAACTTCTGGAAGCAAGTAGTTCCGCTGGTTAACTGTTCTCACTGTTAGGAAGTTTCTCCTTGATTCCAGGTTGTTTCTCTCCTTGATGAGTTTCCATCCGTTGCCTCCAGCTGCTTTGGAAAACAAAGCAGCGGCAGCCACTCAAATATTGGAAGGCTGCTATCATGTCACCCCCTAATCCTGCCCTTGGTTAGACTAGATATATCCAGTTCTTCCAACTGTTCATCCTATGCTTTAGCCCACAGTCCCTTAATCATCTTTGCTGCTCTTCTCTGCACTCTTTCCAAAGTCTCAACATCTTTTTCATAATACGGTGACCAAAACTGGATGCCATATGCCAACTGTGGTCTTGCCAAGGCTCTATCAAGCCGTACTAACACTTCACATGATCTTGATGCTGCAGTGGTCATAAATGCGAGGATCAATCCTTTTTCTTAGTGTTGTCGTAACTTCGAAATGGAGCTCACTCAATGCATGGTTATAAATCAAGGACTGGCTAATGAAGATGACTAGCAAGGTCAGAGTTGACTTTTTTATCCCTGCAGATCCTCGGTTTGAAACCCCGAGTGCAACTCCTCCTCTCCTTTCCAGCAATTGCTTTATTTTGTCCCTCACCTTACAGAAAAACGAGCAAGGGGAAAACTCTGCTTCCTGCCCCCAGAAAAGCTGTTCAGTTTTGGTGTCTCAGCCTGGCTACGTGCCACGGCAAACTTGTGTGGGCCGGCTGGCTGTTTTTCTTGGAATCGTCAAGGGGGAAAAAAAAACATAATAAAAGCTTGTAAATATGAATTGCTGGCAAAAAGGGCCCAGCAGGAGGGTGAAAAAAAACAGCTCCTGTTGAGTTCCTCGAGAACGATCAGTGCAGAAATGGGCAGAACCATCTCCCAAAGTCTCATCTGCTGAGACTCGGCTATGGGCTCTCATGATAGGGGGTTGGACTAGAAGACCTCCAAGACCCCTTCTAAGTCCGTTATTCTGTATGTCTCTTATCTAACCATTCCCTGGCAATGTCTCTTTGCCCCCTCACCCAGGGTCTTTCCCACAGACTGTGACAGCAAAGGACCCTCCCCCTCCATCAGTGTGTGCAAATGATTGTTTTCAAGCATCTACAGTCCAGGTAGTCCCCAACTTACAACCGTTCGTTTAGTGACCATTCAAAGTTACAATGCCCCCCCCCCGGCCAGGTCATCAGTCTAGCCCTGGGTTGAGGAAAAAGAGAGCTTTTCTTGTAACCACTCCAAGTTTATTTCCTGACTGTGTTCTTCAAGATATTAGCGATAAATTACAGCTTTTATTCAATCTCCTTGCTATTTTTGTAACTTCTGGGACAATGCTCCATTTGCCAAAGCTGCTGCATAATTCAGAATTCAGAGAGTGTGCCAAATGATGGTTATGACTGTGAAGTCTCACAATTCGTAAACTTTGCTTTTCAGTTTTCTAAGAAATCTTCCCTTGCTGTGCTAATCACAGTTTGCTACCTATGGATTGACTTGGCCTCACCTCTGGGTGTGTTCACACAACGAATCTGTTCACGGGTTCATTCGCACAGCAAGCAATGCTGGGATAGTGTTTCTGGCTTGGCGTCTTGTGGGAATCCACGTGTTGGGTTAGCCCATCTCTCCGCAGCTAAGTGTGTTGCGCAAAATAATTGTCCCTTATGTACAACTGGACTTTAAAGATTGCCTAACTTGTTCTATTTTATCTGGGTAGCTTCACCACATTCTCTTCCAGGCCTGTCCAACCTGGAGATGAGTTTCTTGAGCATAAAATTAAGTTTGGGTGGAGAACAACATTGATAATGAAACTGTCTGACCTATAAAAAGTCCAAGATTTATTGTGGGGTAGAACTGGAAAAGAAGTTTTTTGGGAACATCTGGAGAACTTTAACGGAAGCGGATAGATGCCAAAGTGTGACTTGTAGAAAGGACCTTTCCAGGTTCTTTTTCCATCAGAGATCAGAAAGTTGTCGATCCTTTCAATTGATTGATTGAATTTGTTGGGTGGACAACCAGCAACTCTGTAGATCTAAAACTTTCAGTATCTTTTGGTCCTCCTATTTGGGGCTTCTAAGTTTTCTTCACCATTTTGGAAGTTCAGATCCCCCATCCCGATCCAAGAGGGTCTGTTTCACCACCTTTTGGACGTCTTCTGTTCATTTGGGCTTATTCTCTTCTGTCAATTCTATTCTTTGAAAGCTACCATTAACTACCTCCATTAAATATATTTAATTGCCTCTGAAGACATCTTAATTGCAATTAGCAATTTGCCCACGAGCCTTTTGCAAGACAAGTGGCAACTATAAAGGATTGATTGGGGAGAGAAGTTGCAGATTTAGGAACCAACTCTTTACAGGATGGTGAAGGAGAGAAATTGTTTTTCCGAGAGAGCTGGAAACTTAAAATCTAAGTTTCTTATCCCTGACTCATGCAAGTTTTTGCCAGCCAAAAACCTTGTCAGCTGAGCCAGTAGCACAAACTTATTCTCTGTTTACTCAGAAAGTTACACATGTTTAGTACTGTTGGATACATATGTAGCTTTTCTTCTGCTAACTAGTTGGACATACTAAAATTAATTTTCAGCAATAAGCTGATTATCAGTGAAACTATTTGGGGGAATCTCTTGATTCACAAGATCAAAAGCTAAATCAATTGGCTGGTTTTCAGATACACACTCTCTAGCAAAAAGCAAACCACATTGAAGCTAACCAGTCTTGACTTGCTGGGCTTTGTGTACATTCAGCATACTTCTGCATGCTGGGAGAAGCAGAAGAAAAACAGATTTGTTGAAATCTGTCTTGCGAATCCTCAAAAGATCTTTGTTCCCTCCCTTTTTTAATTTTTGACCTTAAGCCTCAAGGTGCTCGAGAACAGCTCGTGTTGGCAAAATTAATTATTTCAAATGAGATAGTTGGAGCCTTCTGTAAATAGATTTAGGGAGATGAATGTAGGAGAGTTGTAAGAATTCCAGCCGCTGAATTCTTGTCAATTTAGACCATTTGATTCCTCCAGGGCATGGGACAGAGTGTTTCTTCTTTTGAACAATTTTTCCAAGATTCAGCAAGGTGGAAGGGCTTTTTATTGACAAGAGATGAAGTTGCATTTTGGCTATTTATGACACCATCTCCACTGCAGTCTTTCAGTTTTTCTTCCATTCCTTTTACCGTTGGAGGAGATGGCTATTACTGTGTTATGTCACATCTCTTTCTCCTTGGATGCTCCCAAAGGACCTCGAGCATTTATTTGAGGTTCTTCTTCAGCTCTGATGGGCGGGAATGGAAGGATTTACATTGAGGACACAGATAAACCTCCAAGTGGCTTCAGTGGCTCACTGAAAGAAGGCAAATGACCAGCCGTCTGCAAGGAGTATAAAGCCTTCCATTCTGAAGAAGCTAAAGAAGCTTCTTGGGTAGGAAGCGAAACGTCTTCAAACAAAAAACAAGAAAGTCCAGTTGCTCTTGAAAAAGCATGTTTGGGGCGTTTTTGTCCATCTATCTAGTCCTCCCTGAGGACCTGGGACAGGCAGATGTGGACATTTGATGGTGTTCAAGGTATCATGGCAGAATGTAAGCTGGTTAAGTCAACATAACTCCTGTGTGTAGAGTTTTTTTGTTCCCTCTTAGGAAGCACCAAGACCTCACAGGAGTTAAAAATCTGTGGCTGGAATGGGTGATTTGTTTCTCGTTTCTCACCGTTGGCCTTTTTAATGTTTAACCGGAACAGTTGGAAGTTTTAAGCCTTAAACCATTAGAGCAAAGCCGAGGGGAAAACTGAATATAATTGAAAATGCATCTGGAAATGATAGGGCTGCAGTGTTCATTAGCCTCCTGAATTATGAATTTGCAACTGGCCTCATTTGCTCGCAAACTTTGCTTTGATTTTTTTGAGAAAGGCACGCATGCAGTTGCCTCGGAGGTGTTTGTGCCAGAGTGGATCAATGGCTAAATATTTTGTTCCCAACTGGTAATGTTTGACTGGAAAGCTTAAAATATCGCCCCTTGATTTAGGGGGGGGGGGAGAGAGAGAGAGACGGACAGAGAGAGACAGAGACAGAGAGAGAGAGAGAATTGCTGTTTACCGTGCTGCAGTTTTTTTGAAATTCAGAAAAAGCATGTACATTTGGCATCTTGCAGAAGTCCTGCATCAATAATTAGCTGTTCCTTTTTGAGCTTTGCGGCAAAATCTTGGCACTCCAACCATTGCCATGTGGTGTTTTGGGGCTGCTGCCTCATCTGCAAGAAGGAGCCAGATTTTTTTCCAAGTACAAAGTCCCATTTTGATAAACTTATTTAAGTTTCAAAATCCCGATCAACTCATTTCACTGAAGTGGTATAAGATTGAGACTGGGCTAAGCAGTCCAAGCTACAACATAATATATCTTTTCAATGCAGATATAGTTGTCGACTTACCAGAATTTGTTTAGTGATCATTCAGCACTGAACGACATTGAAAAAAGTGGATCACAACCAGCCCTTGCATTTGTGACTGTTGCAACATCCCTACAGTCACGTGATCAAAATTTGGGCGCTTGGCAACCTGGTTGCAGGGTGCTGGGTTCGAGTTTATCACCATCTGTGACCTTCTCAACTGGCTTCCAACATGAAAAGTCCATTTGCTTAACAACCATATGCGTCATTGAACAACTGAAGTGATTTGCTTAACTGTAACAAAAAAAAGGTCATAAAATTGAATGCAACTCATTTAACAACCGTGTTGCTTGGCAATGGAAATTCTTCTCCCAATTTTCCACGTAAATCGAGGATTATCTGCAGCCCTTCCCAGTCCACACCTCTCTCCCCAAAATACTAGGTTTGCCCAGCTTTTCAGAGCTTGACTTGCTGACCTTGAATTAAAAAAATTGGTTTGAACACAGTTAGTTCACACTAACTGACAAAGCTGGCTTAGAATAAGACCGCAAGCTGCGAAAGCTTTTAAAACATTGTGAACTCTCTAAAACAGAAGCAGAACCTTGCAAAGACTCTTTCTGTCTCTCTCTCTTTTTAAAAGGCTTCCATTTTCTTTCTTCTAGCCGCAGCTTGGGAATCGATTCCTTTAATTCAATTCGTGTTCTCGAAAGATCAGTATCAGAGCCATTTGCGAAATCAGCCCAGATTGATTCAGACGTCTGGAACACCCTGCAGTCGCTTTGGAGATCTGATTGACAGCAAGACCGGGGGGGGGCAGTGCAGTGTGACACCTCTTGAAGGTCTGGTCACATGATCCCGACTCACTTAGATGACCAAAATTCCAGTGCCAATAATGGTCGTAAATCGAGGACTACCTGTACATGAGAACAGCCATGATCCAAATCATAAATCCATCTTGACTTACACTATTTTACGTGAATTAAAATCCCCCCCCAAAGCATTGTATAGCCAGAGTCCCAATTTATATCCTTTGTGCTCAGAAATATTTAATATTCCCTCTTTAAGTTTATCAGTAATTGACAGCACGAAAGATGGAAGATTCGTCTCTTCGCAAACGATCTTGCTAATTGAGTGAACAAGCAGAGAGCAATTATGTCTCCCTAAATGTGTGAATAAGTTAAGAGTTGAGGCTTTTGAAAACTTAACTGAAGTGCATGAATGTACGAAGTCATCCATAAATACTTCTTCTTCCCCCCCCCCTCTTTTTTTCTCTTTTTCAGTCACAGAGAAAGAAGTCCAGCAATGGTGAGTCTTCCATGTTATTTCAGATTCTAAGGAGAATTATTCAATCTTTGAACAGATACACACCAAAGAGAAAAGACTTTCTTTCAGTGCCACTGTAATGTCAAACGATCACTAAGTAAATTGCTATAAATGGAGGACTGTGTGCAGTCAGTTCAATTCATCACCTACTGAAGGTCCTACTTTCAACTGACTTTACTGAATTAGGGAAATGTTAGTTGTTCGGACATGGGATGAGAGGAGGGCTCAAGGCATTCTTGCTTTTCTGGACCCTGAGTTGCAAAGCAGCCAGCTCGGTCCCATTGTAGAAACATTGGTCCATTCATGTTTCTGGTTGCAGGTATAAAGGCTTTATTAAGGACTGCCCAAGTGGACAGTTGGACGCAGCCGGATTTCAGAAAATCTACAAGCAATTTTTCCCGTTTGGTGACCCAACCAAGTTTGCAACGTTTGTTTTTAATGTCTTTGATGAAAACAAAGTGAGTTTTCCTTCCTTCCTTCCTTCCTTCCTTCCTTCCTTCCTTCCTTCCTTCCTTCCTTCCTTCCTTCCTTCCTTCCTTCCTTCCTTCCTTCTTTCCTTCCTGTGATGGTCGTAACTGCAAGGACTGAGTTACTTGTTTCTGTGACATCCCACAAGTCCCTAAGCAAATAGCCATAAATAGAGAACTATCTGCAATGGCACTTTAAATAGCTTTCTCTAAATGTCAGCCTTTCCCTCTTTCTCTTCTCAGGATGGAAGAATCGAGTTTTCCGAATTTATCCAGGCCCTTTCAGTCACCTCCAGAGGAACTCTGGATGAGAAACTGCGGTGTAAGCAATCCGATCCCTTCTGTTCTTCCACGACAATTTATTTCATTGCATCCTGATTGGACAGCCATGTGTCCGGGCTGATATAGGATCTCCTGCTTGAGGAAGGGGCGGGGGTGGACTAGAAGACCTCTAAGGCCCCTTCCAACTCTATTATTCTCTATTCCACTTATCTCAGAAATTGTGGGAGAGATTTTGGTTGAATGTCTCTTTCTTTTTCCTCCCCGCTGCGTTTCAGGGGCCTTTAAACTGTATGACCTGGATAACGATGGCTACATCACAAGAAATGAGATGCTGGACATTGTAGATGCTATTTACCAGATGGTGGTGAGTATATAACAATGGTTTGTTACCCCTGGAATGAGACGCGGTGGCAGGAAGCAGCCGGTTCTGTCCTGCCCTTCAGATGACCAGGATTTCTGTGTGCAACGGTCGTAACTCTGGAAACTGGCCGTAAGGCACTTTTTCAGTGCCGAAAAAGTAATTTCTAACGGTCACTAGATGGTTGTAAGTCAAGGATTTACTGTAGTTGGGGCAGACTTGCATGGAGTCTTGAGAAGGAAGGCGGACAATGGAGGCCCACCTTGCATCTTGGGAAAGAAAGAGACAAGTTTGGTGAACAACCCAGGGAAGCTTCCCCAGACAATGAAGTTGAGTTTCTGTAATCTTCTGGACCCCAAATTAGCTTCTTCAGCTACAGGCCAGGCCAACTGCACCCCGATCTAGTTTCCGTTGGTCAGCTTGCTTCAGTATCTCCCTAGGCTTCATTGAGTCCACCAGAGTTCGTGGAACTGTATTGAGTGGGTCGTGTGCATCTCCAAGGCTGCTTCATCCTCACTGTCTTTGGCCAGGGTAACACGGTGGAACTGCCAGAAGAGGAGAACACCCCGGAGAAGAGGGTGGACCGGATTTTTGCCATGATGGACAAAGTGAGTCTCCTTCTCCATCTTGCTTGGCTACCAGCAGGAGGTGACCCCCATTTTGCTTCGTTCGGATCCATATTCTTAAGACAGAGTTGAAACCCAGCCCGCCTTAGGTTTCCAAGGTTGAAAAGCACTAAGGTGCTGAGTTAGAAAGCAGGAGGAAGCTGTGAGTTCCAGTCCTCCCTTTGGCAGGAAATCTTGATAGATAGATAGATAGATAGATAGATAGATAGATAGATAGATAGATAGATAGATAGATAGATAGATAGATAGATAGATAGATGAATGGATGAGAGAGAGAAATATAATAATAATAATAATAACAACAACAACAACAACACATACAGGAGATTTAATCCTGTGTATTGACTGTTCTTTTGGGTCCCCGTTCACTGGTCTCATGAACTGATCTATGAGCTACCTCATTAATTCAGCACCAAGAAGGGGGGGTATGGACTAGATGACCTCTTAGGACCTTCTCCACCTACCTTCCCTAACGTCTGATTCTCCTTTTCTTCCAGAATGCCGATGGGAAATTAACATTGCAGGAGTTCCAGGAGGGTTCGAAAGCTGACCCTTCCATCGTCCAGGCCCTTTCCCTTTATGATGGACTGGTATAGTCCCCCAAGCCATGCTTTGGTGAGCATCCCCATTTCCAGGGTAGGAGACGATGCAGACCTTCTGGCTTCCGCCTCTGAACTTCCCATTTAAATAAGAAAAATGACCTCCCCCCCCCCATCCAAAAACTCCTCATGAGACTTAGATGCACAATAGTTTTTACTGACTTGACTTGACTACCTTCTCATTTATGTGACTTCCTTCCTTCCTTCCTTCCTTCCTTCCTTTCCTGTTCAGCATCACTCCTTCCTTCCTTCCTTTCTTTTTTCCTTCCTTCCTTCCTTCCTTCCTTCCTTCCTTCCTTCCTTCCTTCCTTCCTTCCATTTTTATGGCCGCCATCTCAGGCGAGTAAAAGACTAAAAACCAGGCGAGTAAAAGACTAAATAATTCATTTCTAAAAAGATCCAAAGGCAGGAATATGAATTAAATAAATATATAAAATAGTAAGGCCCACCAAATCGAAGGAGCTTCGGGCTTTTAATCCGCCCTTCCTTTCCTCCCTTCTCCTTTCCAGACATTTGGAGAAGACCTTCTTCCAGTGACATCAAGCTGCCCACCCCCCAACAAGACCCTCGCCGGACGTTACTCTCCTGTTACTCGCGAGCGAGGGGCGCGTTCTAAGTTCGACCTCAGCCTCAACAACCTCCTGCTTGGAATCCACCATCGGCCCCCATCGGCTGCTTTGATTATCATCCTTTTAAAAGAGAGACAGACGGAGGAAGGGCGAGGGGTGGGAATCCTTCACCGGATGGAGGCGGTTTGCACACATTTCCCTCTCTCCCCCCCCCTTTGTGTTTTGTTTGGAATGAACTTGAGACTTCATATTTCTTCCCTGGGGGGCGGTGGCAGTGGCATTGAAGAGACCGAGAAGCTGCTGTTAGATCGGATGGGAAAAGTAGGGAGGGGGGAGTGCGGGGGGGGAAGGGTCAAGGGCTTAAGCAAAAAAAAAATAAGGATCAAAATCAGTTTGAAAACTCACTTTCTCCACATCATCTGGATTTTGCATCGCTGGGGGTGGGGGCAGGTCTGCATGTACAAAGACCCTTTTTATGTTTGGAGCGATGCAGGAACTGCCTCGCCCCTCTCCTTGGGATATGATTTGCCTGTGTGTGTGTGTGTGTGTGTGTGTGTGTCACAAACTTGCGGTGTTTCTCTTTGCGACAGCCACCTATTTATTTGACTCTTTCCTATTGGGTTTGTCGCTGAAGGATCAAACCCCAGAAAAGGGGTGGCAGTCGTGGTCTTTTTTTTCCTTTGCAGGAGAAATTTAAGCCAAAAAGGACTCCCCCCCTTTTTTTGCCCTGAATATGTAATCACGCACACTGAAGTTCCGAACCCCCCCCCCTCTTTTTTTGTCTCTTTGTCTTTATTTTTTGTTGTCGTCGTTTTGTCCATCACAATTGTTCTGTGATGCTTCACTTTGGGGGAGGTGGAAGGTTGGGAAGTCATGCATCCTTTCCTTGCTTTAATGAGCTTTAATGCTCGGATCTCCGATCTCACAAACGTCCATGCCTGCATATTAAAAAAAAGGAAAAAGGACCCTTCTTTCTTCTTTCTTTCTTTCTAATTTTAAATAAATAAATTTCTAATTTATTTCTTCTTTTTTTTTTAAATGGACTACCTTACATTAGGGTCCATATGAAAAATATGTAGAAATGGTTCCTTATTTTAGAGTTAGGAAGGATATTGCAAGAACAACTTCGCAATGATACAGTCAATGACTAAACATTATTAATTAGACTTCACGGAGAACCCTTTGACACGATCGTTCAAGTTTATGGTACAGCCACGGATACAGATGAGGAGGTTGATATGATCAATTTTGATTAAAAATCGACAGCACTTGCAAGCTTGATCAGACTGCAACAGCAAAGTTAAACATAAAACAGGAAAATGTAACTAAATGTGGCTTGTTATTCCATTCTACTGCGCTTCTTTCCATATTGAGAGTATAATATTTCATTGAACCACTAGGAGGCAGTAGTTCCTATTATATGGTCCTGTTTTCAATACTGTACTGAAACTGAGTTTGTCGCAATCCTTATAAAATACTGCCCCTGGTGGTTCAATCGGGTACATCACTGACATAGAATATAGGGAAATAGAATGGAATTTAAAGGACAACCTGCCCCCTTATGGCCCAATCTATGTATTGCACGTACAAAAAAGAACAGGATAGTCTAATATTGTACAATACACAATTACAATGGGATTGTAATACCAAGGTAAGCCATCAGGGAACCCCCCCTGCATCCATCTGTTGCTTCTTGTTCTGCCTTCCGGTGCTTTGGAGAATAGGTGGACCCCCTCTTCTTTGTGGCAGCCCCTCAAATATTGGAATATGGCTGTCATGTCACCATTAGTCCTTCCTTTCATTAGACTACTAGACCTACCCAATTCCCTAAATTGGTCATTGTACACTTAGCCTCCAGACCCAACCAGTAAAAAAAACGCTGGCTTCTGCTTATTGCTGGCTAAAATTCTTTCTCAAAGCATCAAGTTATTCCAGTTATTTTATAACCTAACGGTGCTGAATTCCAGCAGAAAAACCTGGAATATGGACAGGTCTGGAAAAAGAGAGAATGTCCAGTGTGCTCAGACCTTGGCTCCCCAGGCAGGTGACTCTCTGTTGCAATGAGACTTTATCTCTTCCCGATTGGTCACGAGGTATAGATCTGTCAAGAGAGCTGCCAAATACTTCTCCTCACCTGGGTGCTGTGCGGGATGGCGCAAGAGTTAAAATAATAACTAGGGCAGGGTTTTTTCCTCCTCTTGGCTGTGGTTCAACTGGCTTAATTTGGCCCCAGAACTGTTGGCAAGGTTTAAATAACTCAATCTCCCCACTCAAAACTAGCCAGGATGGTAACCAGAAGGCGACAGGAAGGGGTGATTGCTGAGGTTGGACTGTGCCCATCCTAGCTCCTCCTCCTTAAACAATTGGAGGGGGGTATATATTCTGGGATGGCTGGAAGCACAGATTTGGTGGGCAGCCCCCTGGCTTTAATCTGCAGCTGATATATTTTTTTTTTTTTTTGCAGGCGAAAAACGGTAAGTGACTGTGCAAAAAATGGAGGGGGGGGGAGAGAAACTTTTAACGAAGTTGCAAAAAACTTCTAAAGGAGTTTGGAAGCGTTTTAAAGAGGATTCATGAGAAAGCATGAATGTCTGCTTTAAGGGGCTTGATGATTAGAAAGCAGAGAATATGACAAGAAGGAAGCCACAATATAAATAGAGAGAGGATAAAATATAAATGCGTGCATAACGGATGCAAAGAAGATCAGAAAATAACTATCTTTTTTTTTAGATAAGCTAGATTAGAAAAAGAAGAGCATTATGATGTAGCTTTAGAAAGAGAGAGATTAAAATATAATTGTGAAGAATATCAGGAGCCCCTTCTCAGTATATTTTTTCCTCTTTTTTTCCATTTTTCTTCCTCTTTTCTTGCCCTTTTTAATTTCTTTTTCTTTGTTCTTTCTCATTTCATAATCCATCTTTGATTTTCAGTTTGTGTCTCCCCCCTCTTTTCCTCCTCTCTTTTTTATTTCCTACAGACTGGCGTATCCCTTTTCCTACCTTTGCTTTTCTAATTTTCTGCACCTTTTGAATAAAACTCTGCTGATGATTTGAAAGAGAGAGAAACTGGCAGAAAAGGAAAAGCTGAAAATTCTCCGCGCCCCAAGTTTTAAACAGGAGACTGTAGCTGGCAACTTGCCCAGAATAAATAAATAAATTGCTCTTTTGTACAAGGGAACTGAAAGTACAAACTGGGATTGTTTAAAGTAGCCAGTGGACAAATCTTTGTTTTGGTGGGTGCCAATGATGCCCCAAATCTGCCAGCCCAGCTCTATGCCAAGCTGGACATCGTCTATTGAAAAAGCCTCTGTGGGAAAAAAATAACCTTTTTTTTTCCTGAATTGGGTCAGGCTGCATAATAGAATCAATCTCTTCAGTTAGTTCTATCGAGTGCATAGGTTAATGAATTACAACTCCCATCAGCCACAGTGAGGATGAGGGGTTCTGGAAGTTGTATTAGAAGGAGGGAGCCCATTCCTGAGGCTGTGAATTAAGTAATTTTTTGGGGGGGAGCCAGGACCATCGTGCTCATGTTGAATCTTGTGGCGGTGAGTTCCATGGGTTCAAGACATGCGTAGGTGCAAATATTTGTTCCTCCAGTCTTTCTGGTATGGCTCTTTCAGCTGCTTCATGAGATTGGTGGTTGAGCTGAGCGTCCAAAAGGCCTGGATCAATTATTCTATGAATATAGGTTGTCCTTGATTTATGTTCACAATTGTAATCAGAATTTCCACTGCTAAGCAAAATGGCGGTTAAGTGTGAACTTTTTTGACATAGTTAAGTAGACCACTCCATTTGTTGTTAAGTGAACTGCAAATCCAGCTCATTGGCTTTTTTTAGCTGGAAAAAAGCCGTTGGATTCTGTTTATCGGATGGGGAATTTTCTTGAACTGTCCTTCGGGTGGCATATATAAGTCCAATAAAGTATTATTATGATTATTATAGACTCAATGTCTCAGTCCAAAGGCCTTGTGATCCTGGCCTACAGTGGTGGTTTGGATACGTCCTGCATCCTGGTTTGGCTAAAAGAACAAGGTTATGACGTCATCGCTTACATGGTAAGACCATTTTTCAAGGTCTCTCTAAATGAGTGTTTTTCAAACTTGGCCACTTTACGGGTGGACTTCAACTCCCAGAATTCCTCACCAGCATCCTTTAGGAGGCGTGAACTTCCACTTCCAAATTTCCCAGCATGCATTCTGGGGCATTCTGGGAGTTGAAGTCCACCTGTCTTAAAGTTGCCAAGTTTAAAAGGTACGGCAAGGATTGATTGTGAAGGTTGCAGGGTCCACAGGTAGAAATTCAACAGGTCTAAGTCTTGTCTTGTGAGCGGTTCAGAGTGGAACCATCAGCCACAAACCGGGACCAAGAATCTCAACTTCAGCCTTATCTTTCAGGGGACAAACCTGATTGGTTGGCACCTAACTAGGTAGCAGCATGGCTGGGAACAATGAGGTTTGATAACCAATCCTGCTGCAGGGACCTGGGGGAGCGAAAGTAGTTTTAATTAAATATAAATTTCATTTTAAAGACTTGGGACCATTTAAATGGACACACACAAAAATCCAGGACCTGAGAATAAATATCTGTGATTTAAAAAGGTTGCAAGCCAGAAAGTGTCAAAGGGATTTCAAGAATGAAGAATCATCAAAAAAAAAAAAAAAATAACCTTATTTGTCAAGACAAGGTTCAGACGGTCTTATGATGCAGCCAGCCCTACTTAGCAGAGAACTTTACCCCTTTGGAGTTTGTTTGTTTTTTCCTTATTTGTTTTTTGGACTTGTTTTTACTGCCACACAAGGACAAATTCTGCCATTGTGTTTCCTGCAGGAACATTGTCTAAATGGCTGAGCTGGAGACCCTTCCGTTTCTTTCTTTCCTTCCTTCCTTCCTTCCTTCCTTCCTTCCTTCCTTCCTTCCTTCCTTCCTTCCTTCCTTCCTTCCTTCCTTCCTTCCTTCCTTCTCTCTCTTTCTCCCTCCCTCCCTTCCCTTCCTCTTCCCTTCCCTTAATTTCTGTGTCTCAAAGATGGGAAATGACTCTGCCCTTCCAGAATTGAGCAGCCCCCTTTCCTAGTTTGAGGACTGTCTCAAACTGTCCAGAATATGCTAAGATGCCCCAAAAGATGAGATCCCTTTGTACAATTAAAGACTTGGTGCCTTGGTTCCCTTAAAAGCACACAAACAAGACCCAAAGGGGGATAAAACCAGTGGGGGGGGGAAGCAGATTTCCTTCTATTCAATCTTTTTTTGTCTTAAATATATTCCAGGCCAACATTGGACAAGATGAAAACTTTGAAAAGGCGAGAACGAAAGCTCTCTCTTTGGGTGCCAAAAAGGTGAGTGTTTAGTTTTGCCTGCTACACCTAGCCTCGGTTTGTTTAACCATGGTTGGCAGAAAGAAGAATGATTTATGAAAAAATACATGGACGGCAACTCCCAGAATTCTCCAACCGTCATGCTTTTCATTTGGCAGTATTTTACCCTCTCTGAGTTAGAGGTGGACAAATAGATTCCTTTCGGAATCTTGTGGAGGAAGTAAATTATTTAAAAATAATTAAAAATTAGGAAATTATCAGGGAAAAAAATCCTTCTTCCAGAAGATGCTCCACCAGTGGAGGTTTTTAAGAAGAGATTGGCCAGACTATTTGACTGGAATAGCCTAGGGTCTCCTGCTTGAGCAGGAGGGGGTTGGACTAGAAGACCTCCAAGGTCCCTAATCTTGCATGTTCTATATTCTGTGTTTCAGGTTTACATTGAAGACCTCGGCAGAGAATTTGTAGAAGAGTTTATCTGGCCAGCTGTCCAAGCTGGGGCTCTCTATGAAGACCGGTACCTCCTTGGCACGTCTTTGGCTCGGCCGTGTATCGCCCGCAAGCAGATGGAGATCGCCTTGAGAGAGGGGGCCCAGTTCGTTTCTCATGGAGCCACAGGCAAGGTAGGATGATGCTTTAACGAGGGCTTCCTGGCTGCTCTCTGAGCTTGCAGACATTTCATGACCCAAACTAGCTAACATCATCAGTGCTAGCCGGCTAAAGGACCCCTCATTCCAACCCTGAGCTGCAAAACATTCTCCTTTATTGGTGATGCTTTAAATTGTTCCCCTGTTCACCTTCTCAGTGGACGTGACTTAAACGAAGTTCTTGACAAAACCCTTCTGGAATCTGGGCTGAGAGGAGAAGGTCTACCCATGTTTCTAGAACACTAGAACCAAAGTTTGCACACAACACAAATTTGAGTTTCCAACTTGAGCAAGCTTAGCCAAGGTCCTGGGAAGTCATCTTGTTGAATATTGTCCTTCTGAGGAATGCTGAATAATCCAAGGAAAAAGAATGTGCATATCCGGACAGCGCTTGTTAAAAATTAGCTAAACTGAGCTTAGGTGGACAGGATTTTCCTAGGAAAGCCGACAAGCTTAAGCGCACAGGCAAAAATAGGTTTATTTGCTTTGAATTTCGCAAATTCCCATTGAGCTGCAAATATTTAAGCCCCCTTGATGCCTTTTCCCTTTGCTTGTTGCTCAGTTTGGCAACCAGGAAGTAGGAAACGAATTAAAACCAGTTTCCCACTTTTAAGAATCTTTGCTTTCATTTGGGCTGCCTGCAAAGCACACCTTCCAGGTCAACAACAGATGGCGATAGCTTGAAATTACTAAAAAGAAATATTCACAGTAGAAGATTGGGTTATAAAATTGATGCCGTTTTAGTATTATTTTTCCTTTGATTTTTTTTTAATCTCATTCTAAAATTCGAATTAAAAACGAACCTGGCCATTATATTCCTGCTGTTGGAGTAACCGCAGTTTTTACAGTACAGGTGTTTTTTCAGTGTTTTTAAAAATGTGTGCCGCACGCATTTTTCCACAAGAGGGCAGCAAAGACTTACTTTTGTCAAGATTCTTTTGCTTAATCGGCTGATTCAAAATTCGGCTTCTTTAGAAAGTCGGAAATAGCCGAGAAGGGGCAGAAAAAGATTGCAGAATCGGGTTTTCTAAAAAGAAAAGAGGTGGGTGCTGATTTTGCTCATGTATCGTTGCAACGTGAGGTTTGGGAACTCTGCGGTGAGTTTGCAATAAGAATCTCGGATTATTTTTTTTTTAAACCCCAATGTTCTGAATTGATAGCAAAAAATTGGGAGTTCTAGTCCCGTTTTAGGCATGAACATTGGCTGGGTGACTGTGGGCTAGCCACCAGATGTGAGTTCTAGTCCCACCTTAGTCATACAAGCCACCTGGGTAACCCACTTCACAGGATTGTTGTGGGGAAAATAGGAGGAAGGTACGCTGGATAAGTTTGCCACTTTGAATTATTTGTAAAAATAATAAAGGCAGGATATAAATGAATAATACCGGGCAGCATATAAGCTTAATTAAACTTAAATGTTGACAGTCTAGTCTTAAGCCGAAAATTGACTCTAGTTGAGGTAAACTCTAGCTGAGTTTAATTCTAAACTCCAGTTCAATATTTCTCGGACAGCAAAAGGCATATTTTAGTACATTTAAGGCCATGCCCAGTTGAATTCCGACGTGCCTTTTGCCTTCTAAGAAATATGATCTCGGCTCTTCCCAGGGCTGAGCTTCAGAAAGCTACAAGCTCTTTGAAACATTTTCCATGCTCCTATCAACTAAGCTTGGCTTGCAGGCAAATGGGTTGAGGGGCAGCCACCCCCTCCCTGTAGTAATCCGAGCCCCCAAAGCTGGGTGCTCCTTGCTCTGCACAGCCAATTTCTTCAATGCTTCGGGCACCATCTGTGTGAGGCTCCATGACTGAGAGACAGATGGGAGAAGGAAGCCCTGTTAGATGTTGGCTCCAAGGTCTTCTGTCGCCGCCTCTGGAGGCTCCTGCAAGCCACAATAATCTCGGTTGCTCTTAGTGGTCATGTGAATCTCCAGAATTGCGTTACCTGGTTAAAATGTAGAGAATACAGACAGCCCTGAACTGTCTGCCGGTTGCCAAGTGTCCAAATTTTGCTGACATAACCGCTGCGACTGTCGTAAAGGCGAGTGAAAATTGCCAGCGCTGTTGTAAATTCAAACGAGCGGTCGTAAATCAGGGACTAACTGTATTGGCTGGAGGGGAGACCACCAGGTGATTCCAGGGCAGAAAAAAACGATGGAGAGGTTCCCAAACAAAAGCAATCCCAAAACCGCTTCTGTTGGGCTAAATGATTTCAATTGTGCTTAACGCTTTATCCTCCCCTTTCTTTAGGGCAACGATCAGATTCGATTTGAGCTCACCTACTATGCTCTTTCTCCTCGGATCAAGGTAAGGCACAGTTTGTGCCACACAACACCAAATGTTTCAGTCCCCTCCTGTCCCACTAACCCTCCCCGTCTGACGGCAGCTTTGATGTGGCTGCCACCAGCCCCAGGGGTTCAGGTTACCCACCACGTCCTCTGCCCAAATTCAATAGGTAATTCTGCCTTTCTGGAATGGTGTTTGGACTAAGCAGGGTGCGCTTCAAAGGCAGAAGTCAGCAGCTCTTTCCCTGTTAATCTCTCCAAACAAAGGTGATCCCAAGTCTTTTTGCAAAGTGGGGATTATTTTTCATCCTGCTCAGGGCAAAAAATGGGTGGAAACCAAACGATCTGCTGATACCTCCTGAGCTAGTTTGGGCTGTTAGAAAAGGTCAGTTAAAACATCACAGGGACTTAACAAAAGTTAGAATGTCTTTTTTGATTGTCGGTTAGCTAGTGGTTGCTATTTTTTGTTTTTCATTTTAAAAAAATTGGTTCAAATTGAATTATTCTTAATCCCTTGGGTTGAACTGCGTCAGTTTTAGCCTCAATTTAGAATTTTTGCAAGTGCTTTTATGAGTTTCGGTTCAACTCCAATCACTGCAGGTTTGGAAAACAATGTAGAACGAGGCGGAACACACAAAGAAATACAACATTAATACCGATTAATTAAGCTATATGCTTCTAAAACTCTTGGGTCTGTGACCTTTAATCGGGTGAAATGGTACACCTTAAGGCAAAACTTTCTGAACGAAGGTACTTCAAATGGACTAGCTGACTCCTGTGGAATTGACCTCTGGGAAATTTTATAGAACATTTTATGACAAAAGGATCTTGGAACATTTTATGACCTCAGGCAAAATGTCAAAAAAGTTTTCCTGTGCCGGTGTTTGACTGTGCTGGACAGTTCAACCTGGGCTACTTTTGAGATAGATCCATCTCTGAACGTCTTGGAATATGGAACATAGAATGATAGAATTGGAAGGGAGCTTGGAGATCTACTAGTCCAATCCCTTGCTCAAGCAGGAGACCCTATGCCATTCCAGACAAATGGTTGCCCCGTCTCTAAATTTTTAAAGCATTTTTCCAGTGCATAAGAAGCTCTGCCATTGCTGAAGGTTTTTGAGGAATCTGGTAAAGAACTATCTATGAAACTATTACCAGAGGCTGCCTAGTACTAATTCATAATAATACTCATAATACCTGGGTTTTTAATTAAGAGCCTGGCTTTCCAGGGTCCAAGAATTTTTAATTCTTTCCCTTCTCTTCCTTCCTTCCACCCTCCCTCTTTTTTATCTCTTCCTTCCATCTCTTTCCTCCCTCCCTCCCTCCCTCCCTTTCTTGAGTTTAGCATCTTTCCATTTTCCTTCCTTCTTCCCCTCCCTCCCCATTGCACAAAACTGCCTCTCGGTTAGTGCCATAACCAACTTTATTTCCATGGTATCTGCAGATCATTGCACCGTGGAGAATGCCTGAATTTTATACCCGCTTCCAAGGACGCAGCGACCTCATGCAATATGCTAAGGTACCAGAATTTTAATCTTTTGTTTGTTTGTTTTCCATGCTTCCTGGTAGGTCACAAGAGAAGCCATTTTAGGATCGTCGCAACTTACGACACTCTATTGGGGTCGTAAGTCGAGGACTACCTGTATAGAACCAGCATTGGAAGGTCTGAATGACCAAGAAAGGCCATCATGGAGGAAATCCGTCTGGGTGGTTGATAAGGTCTTGATAGCAGATCCTTCCTTCCTTCCTTCCTCCCTCCCTCCCTCCCTAGATATTTTGTATTTTTCTCCTTCCTCCCTCCCCAGGAGCCCTCTTCTTCTCCAGAAACGCTTGACAACTGTGTTCAATCAATCAAAAAAAAAGAGAAGCATTTGTGTATAAACCAGAAAATTGCTTGAAGTCCCATGTATCTATCTAGCTATGTTTTTGTCTTGCTGTCTAAAGCAGAGTAAATGATTTCCAAGATCCCGAAATTGAAAGCTGGGTGCAAGGGGAAAAAAAAAAAAGGGCAGCCCTTTTGCTTTTTATTCATTTATTTTGTGTTTGCAAACATTTGCAAACATGCCCATCCATCCACCCTGAACTTGAGAAACACGTGTATTTTGGGGTTGCTGTTTTCCCCCCCTTTATTTTTCCTGCCATCTGTTATGTATTGCCTCGAGGGGAAATTTACAAGAGTCCCCCATATGTTGCCAAACAAATTGTCAAGTAGGTGAGTTGTTAAGGCAGGGGCGTACGCGTGTTTTTAATTAGGGCACTTATTATATGGAAAATGGAGCGTGGTCCGGCTTCCCCCCCCCCCTTTTATTCCTGCTCTGCCTGTCTTTGCTGAAAAAGCTTTAAGGAAGGAGTAAAGCAATTAAGAGGACTTTTGCAGACTCTACAATGCTTGTGTCTGTGTGTTTGTGTGAGAGGGAGGGAGTGTGAGAGAGAAATGGGACGCTTAATGGAAAAATACGTTCGCCCTCCATTCATTTGCCCAATATTGTTCTCGGATTCTAAGGAGCACCTGAGATGGTGCAGGGATTTCGGCTCTTCCTTTCCACCCCGCATCCCCAACCGAGTTGCAAGCAGGACAATCCTCCAGGCTCAGAGCGAGCTGCACCCCAGGTGTCAATTTTCCCACCCTGTTCTAAGTCAGTGCGATTTTTACCCTTGCATTGCGTTGTATTGTGTTGTATTGTATTGTATTGTGTTGCATTGTGTTAATTATTTTCTTTTTCTTATTTTATTTTGTCCAATGGCCTAGGAAACAGGAGAACCTCTTCCATGTGGAACCAACTTTTGGGACTATCATTGAGTCTTTTCTCACAATCCCTCCTCCTCCTCCTCCTCCTCTTCCTCCTCTTCCTCCTCCTCCTCATCCCCTTCCTTCCTTCCTTCCTTCCTTCCTTCCTTCCTTCCTTCCTTCCTTCCTTCCTTCCTTCCTCCTCCTCTCTCTCTCTTCCTCTCTCTCTCTCTCTCTCTCTCTCTCTCTCTCTCTCTCATATGAGGTCGCTAGTTTGCTCCTTCTAACAACCCTCCCAGTCGATCTAACCACAAAGCCATATTATTTCCCAAATGTCTTACATTCCAGGTTGTCCAAACTGAAGCAATTAAAGCTGCCACCAGCTTCTCTAGAAATAGCCCCTATTGCATGATTCCCTGGGACTTCCCGTTCTGCTCACTTCGAGAACAATCTGGAGCAGATTTTGCAAACACAGTGAGACAAACCCATGGTGGAAGGAGATTTGTCCCCAAGCGGGTAATCCTTGTGAAATGTTGGACCCAAGGCAAGACTCGAGAAGGACAGCTTGAACCGGGTAACCGGAAATGAAATCTGGAGGAAATACTTGCAGCGCTAGCTTTTCTTTAGCATGGCTTCCTGCTGTTTCTCTTGCTTGACAAGCTTAGCACGGTGTTACTGCGACTCTCCTGCTAATTTCTGTGCCTGGTGCTTAGTTTTCACAGACCATTTCACTTGGAGAAACATCTCCAGCTAATTGACTGGTGGAGTGACCTTGTAAGAGATCTTGGGTTTATGATTGTCTCGGTATTTGGGGGGAGGGGAGGAAGGAAGGGGAAGAGAAGACAAGATGGGCGTAGAAAGTGGAGGATCACCAATGCAGGTGCTTGAAGGAAGGAAGCAGGCAGAGATGGAACCAAAAGTACAGGTAGTTCTTGTTCTTGTTCTTGTTCTTCTTGTTCTTCTCCTCCTCCTCCCTCCTCCTCCTCCTCCTCCTCCTTCTCCTTTTCTTTGTGGCAGCCCCTCAGATGTTGGAAGCCTGCTATCATGTCACCCCTAGTCCTCCTTTTCATTAAAGTTCATTAATCCCCTCCATGTTGTTTCAGGATCATGGAATCCCAGTTCCTACCACGCCGTCTAATCCTTGGAGTATGGACGAAAACCTTATGCATATCAGGTGAGGACCAGGGAGGACCTTGTTGGATTGAGGCCCTATTTGTGGGAGAGTTAGATGCCCTTGAGACGTTTCCAGCTGGCTAATGACTCACTTACATGATGCTCTTTTTTCCTTCTTCTTTCTGCTGGGATCTCCATCCTCCGAAGCTATGAAGGTGGCATTTTGGAGAACCCCAAGGTAAGAGGACCACAGATGGCTTGGAGAAACATCTGGGGATCTTCCTGAGTCCCGTGATATTCCCCCGCCCCAGGGTTGCCTTAACCATGGTTTAATAAATAAACCCCATTGGGTCAGTTTTGCATCATGCAAACCAGACGCTGGCTTTTGTGAGAGCCCAGCCCAACGCAAAACAACAGTATTAGTGAAGATAAATCAACAATCACCTCGCTGTTCCGTTGTGTGCCCACTGGGTGAACGAGGGTGCTGTTTTTGTGACATCTTAATGGGAATGAGGGTTGTGTTGCCTGCTGGCTGGTCTCTCTTCTTCCACTTCATGCTCTGACAGAGTCTCTGTGCCAGGAGAGCTACTTAAACGATCCATCAGCACTAATTAGACAATCAGACACCGAGGTTGGGGGTGGGCAGACGGTCAGGAGAAGCCAGTCCGAGAAAACTTTGTCTCCTCTTGTCCGTATCTCAGTGAGTTCCTGGGAAGGAGCTGGATGGAGAGAGATCGATGGGCCCAAAGTCACCCAAGGAAATTCTGAGACACTGGGGGTCTTCTGGGTGTGGTCCATAAATCCCTCCTCCCTCCCTCAATTGATTGCTTCCTTCCTTCCTTCCTTCCTCACTCCCTTCCTTCCTTTTTTTCCTTCCTTCCTTCCTTCCTTCCTCCCTCCCTTCCTTCCCTTCCTTCCTTCCTTCCTTCCTTCCTTCCTCCCTCCCTCCCTCCCTCCCTCTCTCCCTCCCTCCCTCCCTTCCTCACAATTTGTCCCCTATCCATAGGTGCCCTGGGCCTCTGATTCCTCCCAAGGTGGGAAAACGGGTCTTTGGCTGCCCTCGGTTGCCCCCCCCCAATCTCTCCCCCTCCCCCTCCCTCGGTGTGCCCCCCCTTGAGAGTGCTGCTAGTTGAGGGATTTGAAAACAGATGGTTGAGCTATTTTCTGCCTCTGTGAGGCCTGATTGAGGAGCAATGAGGCAGCTAATGTCGAGAAAGACCGAAATTTACTTGCTTTAACTTCATCTGGGCATCCTGAAAAGGCTTCATTCAGTCGCAGCCACAACAATATCAACTTGGATGAATAAACCATTTGCGGCATTGATAGCTGTGCATCATAGTTTAATTCATGGACCATTTACTTCCAATTTCTCCCCCCCCTCGGCCCCTCATTCTTTCGGCTTCCCTCCCATCCCCCTCCCATCCCTCTCCCCTTCTCCCATCACCCCTTTAAAGATGGCTTTGCAATCCCAGCCTCCTGGATAAACGGGAGGCATTGAGACCCTATTGGAAAATCATTAATGGGGGGAAAGAAGACAGAAGAGCCACCCGACTTAGCCACGGAGATTATTTTTATGTTTTAAAAGTTATTTCAGTGGGCTACAGATATACCTGGTTTTGCTTTTAAGTATTTTTAACTTTCTGTTGCCTCAACTTTCTTCCTCCGATCAGTTCTGGTCCTCCGGAGGTGCATCCAAATTACAGGCAATCCTCCACTTATGACCAGGATGGTGCTCAAACTTTCTGATGCTAAGTGAGACATTTTACCATCCTCCTTGCCTGCAGCTGTTAAGTTAGTGACGCGGTCGTTAACTGGATCTATCTCCACCCTTGACTTTGCTTGTCAGAAGGCCGCCAAAGGGGATCACATGATCCCAGGACACTGCGTCCGTCATAAATATGAGCAGCTGAAGTTTGATCTGTGGGAATGTTGCCCTGGTCATACGTGTGAAAAATGGTCATAACTCATGACCATTTTTTTCAGCGCCATTGTAACCTCGGTCACTAAACGAACCGTTGTAAGCGAAGGACGCCTAAATTCGAAGCAGGTTGTTCCCTGCAGGAGCCAAGGAAAAAAAATTAAAAGCAGGAGATTCAAAATTGAAATCTGTGGTTTGTATAATTGGATGCCCCCCCTCTTCCCTCTGTGGGTTTTGAGGGTACCTGTCCGTGGTTAAACAACGGAAGCACCCCTGAGACCCAGCCCTGCTTTTTCCTGACATTAAAGATACAGTTAAGGAGAAAGAAAAATGGAATGAGAAAGGAAGGGCGAAAAAAAAATCTAATCTCTTCTAGTTTATATGAGGTCGCGCAACCTCCTGTCTCTCATTTTCTGTGTGGGTGCATCTTATCTCGGTGTGTGAATGTTCACCGCCGTAGCAAATGTGCTTGAGGTTGGATTCCTATGGAAATGAGCAGCGTGCGCATTTAGCAACAGGCCTGATTCATAAACTGGACCAAGTCGTGGTTTGTTTTGGCCCACCGTTTACTAAATAAACTGGGTTGGCGTGTGTTAAGCCACCCATCGTGGTTTACAAGACACTGATCCAATTGCATTAGGGCTTGGGATGCTGGGTGGATGGAGCTACAATATAGCTGGACTCTGCATTCATAGAACATAGAATAACATAGTTGGGAGGGACCTTGGAGGTCTTCTAGTCCATCTCTTTACTCAAGGCTTCATAGCATCCCAGACAAATGATTGTCCAATCTTTTCTTGAAGACCGCCAGTGATGGAGCACTCACAACTCCATGGATTAATTGTTCTCACTGCCAGGAAATTCCTTTTTATTGCCAGATTGGATCACACTCTGACCCATCGTCATAATTCCAAATGGTTCAAAGATTGAGGACGGTGTCCAGTGACAGTCAGGTTGAGTTGCAACCAAGAATCCACCCAGCATGTTATGAAAATAATGCATGGTGCCCTTGCACCGATTTAATGAAAAGAAGGACTAGGGGTGACGTGATAGCCATCTTCCAGTATTTGAGGGGCTGCCCCAAAGAAGAGGAGGCTCAAATTATTCTCCAAAAGGACTAGAAGTTTGGGCTCAAGGAGAGAAGCAACCTAGAATTAAGGAGGAATTTCCTGACAGTGGGAATAATTAATCGGTGGGATGGCTTGCTTCAGAAAATTGTGACTGCTCCATCACTGGAAGTTTTTAAGAATAGACTGGACAGCCATTTGTCTGGGATGGAATAGGGTCTGCTGCCTGAGCAGGGGTTGGGCTAGAAGACCTCCAAGGACCCTTCCAACTCAGTTATTCTGTTATTCACTGATGGGTTGTTTGATGTATCATGCAGGGAGAAGTTAGAAGAAGTTAGAGGCAAATCCTCCCCTCAGCTAAGCTCAAATTTCCAAGAGCCATCTTGTCTGCTGGTTTGGGGGAGGAGACCAGGTGTGGGAACAGGAGGGACCCTTTTTCTGGGTTTGGTTAGCGGCGGCTGAGACGTTGTACCTTCTCATCCTGGTTGAGGGAAATCGATCCGCATGGTTTAAATAATTAAGTTGCTGTCCCACCACTGGCTTCTCCTTGCCTTCTCCCATCTGTTCTTGGGGTCTGTTGGACGAGATAAATGCTTGAGTTGGACGTCAGCCAGCCAGCTTTCTAAGGGGAGTCTTCTCTGGTGATGCCAGGGGGGTGGTCGTGGGAGGGGGAAGCTCCTTGGATGGCGGGCTATATCTGCATCGATAAGCTCCTCTAGGAAGGTCCATCTTGTAGAGGCCAGTCAAGGGTTGCTCCTGATGTAGCAGTGATGCCTTCCTTCCTTCCTTCCTTCCTTCCTTCCTTCCTTCCTTCCTTCCTTCCTTCCTTCCTTCCTTCCTCTTTTCCTTCCTTCCTCTTTTCCTTCCTTCTTCCTTCCTTCCTCTTTTCCTTCTTCCTTCCTTCCTTCCTTCCTTCTTTCCTTCCTCTTTTCCTTCCTTCCTCTTTTCCTTCCTTCTTCCTTCCTTCCTCTTTTCCTTCTTCCTTCCTTCCTTCCTTCCTTCCTTCCTTCTTTCCTTCCTTTTTCCTTCCTCTTTTCCTTCCTTTTCCCTTCCTCTTTCCCTTCCTCTTTTCCTCCTTCCTTCCTTCCTATCCTAAAAGTTGGCTCTTAAATTCCAGCCAAATTCATGTTTAGACTTCACAGCTCGGAAAGAAGACCCCCCCCCATCTTACCAATAGGTGGCATAGCTTGATTATTAGACGGTGCCATTCATTTTCAGCCTATTTTCTTCACCGCTTCCCGACATCTCCCCCACCCCACTTTGAAAGAAATAGGTCTCTTAACTCCAGACACCTGCCCCCCCCCCATTGCATGCCTCCAAACGTGGAAATTTCTCCAAAGTGCTTGAGGCAGACCATAATTATGGGAACAGAGAGGGTTGCCCCCCCTCCCTTGATCTGGCACCCCTGCGCTACAAAATCTGGCGAAAGAAGAGGGAAAGAGTAAGAGAGAAGCAAATATATTTATACATAAAGGTTGATGTGTTTTCAAAATGAGTTTTTGCTTTCTTCTTCTATTCCCCCCCCCCTCGGGTGTATTAACCTCAGAGACACTGCTGGGAAAACACAGTTTCTAGGATCACCTGCTGAGGTCAAGAATAGTCATTAGTTTTTCGGTCAATGCAGAATGAACCCCCATTTCTCCCATCTCTCTCTCTCTCTCCCCGTTCTTTGCCTCCTTGCAAAAAAAGGGGGGGAAATCACATTCCCCCCCCCTCCTGGTCTGACTTTTCCTTCCAGAGCTATCTGTCTCCAGCTGTGGGGGCGTCAAACAAGAAGATGAGATCAAGTTGAGGGGAAAATAAATGGACTGATTTTCACTAGGCCTTTGTTCCCGGACTCCTTCCTTCTCTTTCGCAAGGGAGGCAAAACTCTCCCATGGGGGAGCCGAAAAGTTGGGGATGGGAGGATTAGGGTAGAATAGAATAGAATAGAATAGAATAGAATAGAATAAAGTATGGAATATGGAGAATAGAGTAGAGTACAGTAGAATAGAATAGAATAGAATAGAATAGAATAGAATAGAATAGAATAGAATAGAATTAGAGTAATGATAAGGAATAGAATGGAATAGAATAGAATAGAATAGAATAGAATAGAATAGAATGTAGAGTAGAGTAGAGTAGAGTAGAGTAGAGTAGAGTAGAGTAGAGTACAGAGGGCTGGAAGGGACCTTGGAGGTCTTCTAGTCCAGCCCTCTGCTCAAGCTGCTGCTTTCCACAGTCACGTGACTGCAATTTACAACTGTCTATGCAGCTTTCTGGCCTTTGGGGCTGTTTTCCTGCCAAAAACACCCATGGGAATGAATGGATTCATTTCACGACCAATATATTCACTTAACAATCGCTGGCAAAAAAAAAAAAGTTCATAACATTGGATTGCTTATGTGGTGCCTTGTCTTAGAAGCATGGTGACTTACAGCAAAAAGTCCAGGCTCCATTGCTGGCTGTAGGTCTTCATTTGGAAGGAGGATTTGATACCCCATTATTTAATTTTTCTTTGATTTTCCTCTTTTTCAAAGAACCACCCTCCTCCTGCCATCTACAAAAAGACCGGAGACCCTGCCACAGCTCCAGATTTTCCGGATATTTTAGAGATTGAATTCCAGAAAGGTGAGAAGATCAGATTCTGCCCATAATACAGGTAATCCTTGACTTGCTTAGCGACTGTCCAAAGCTACAACAGCTCTGAAAAAAGGATAACGTATGACCGCTTTTCACACTTAACGACCGTTGCAGCATGCCCGGGGTCACGTGATCACAGTTCAGAGGCTTGGCCACTGGCATGTACTTGTGACTGTTGCTGTGTCCCGGGGTCACGTGATCCCCTTCTGCGACTTTCTGACAAAGCCAAGGTTCCCTTAACCACCATGTTACTAACTTAACCATTAACCATCACTTAGCAAGAGAGGTCGTAAAACCTCACTTAACCATCTCACAGAAACGTTGTGCTCAGTTGTGCTCATAAGCCGAGGACTAGTAAATTTAATAAACAATAAACCCCAAAGAAATGGATAACAAGACACAAGCTTTGATGTCTATTTCTCCACCCAACGTCTCCACTCAGTCTCACTTCCGCTAGCGTCAAAAGCCACCTGTCTGTCCCCAAGAATTTGCCCCATCTAGTAGTTTCCAACGTTACTTAACAGGCACACACAATCAAGTCAGAAATAAATTAACTCGTGGTGAAAAGCAGAGTCTTCATTTCCTCCAGGCTAAGATAACTGAGAAAGGTTGGTTGAATAGTTGACGGTGGGTATTTAAAGAATCAAAGAGACACAACTTGATTGGCAGGGGCTCTGATCCATTACAACACTAGCAGAGGCATTAGAAGTGCTAAATTTGGTAATTGTGCCACTTTCCTTCCTTTCTGAGGTGTGTATGTATGTGTGTGTGTGTTGTTTAGCATGCAACCCAAACCAAGATTTGGGGATCCTTTAGGATGCAACCTCAGGGTTTATTCAGTCTCCAGTTAAGGAGTTTGTCTCCACAGACCCTTCCTTTCCACTTCTCTCTCTCCCTCCCTCCCTCCCTCCCTCCCTCCCTCTCTCTCTCTCTCTCTCTCTCTCTCCTGGGCTTCCATCCTCACTCCCCCTCTTAGTTAATTTATTTGAAGTCCTAATCTAATTATTAACTCTTCTCAAAGGGATAAGCAGCTTTGGGACACAATGCCCGGTTCTCCGCTGGGCTGGGATGGCATCAAATGGCCCCGGGGAAAAGGGACGATTCCACACAAGTCAAATAGATGAGCGAAAGCAGGGTCGCCCCCCCCACCCGTTAACCCAGATGAGATTTAGGACTCATTACGGCCAGGGGAACAACTTCTATTTAATCATCATTTACAACCAAATTGATCATCTCTCTCGCCTGGTAGCCCACCTTTTCGTCTCCCTCCCTCCCTTCTTTGCAAAGTTAAATAATGATGATGATAAAAAAAAAAAAAATCCCGCTGGAAAGTGGGCTTAGAAAGAAGGGGGACTTTCCAGACGCAGCGGGATTTGTCAGGAGGACTAGAAAAGCAGCTATTGAGGGCTGATTAGCCCCAACTAAAGCCCTCTATGGAAATAAGGAGGGCAGATGGAAGACAGATTAGCCGCAATGGGTCTCCTTCCTTCGGCCTTTGTGGCGTTTCCCCCCAGCTGCCCACTAAGGCATTTATCCAGGCCTTGTTTCCGTATACATTTATTGCTCATTTCATCCTGCTTGAGAAGGGGGGGGGGTACGGCGTGGAGGCCGTGTCTTTCTTTTTGGTGGCCACCGTCCTCCTTCCCTGTCGGGGTACCCCTCTTTCCCCCCACCCCCTTGTCACCAAAAGAGAAAGGTGTGATAATTAATTCATGGAGCGATCCCTCATCCCAAAATTACAATGGGACCCGGGAGACGGCCCTATTCAGCCTTGGCAGGCGGATAACTCGAAACATAGATAGGATTTGTCCGCCAAACCATTACAGGGGCTGTGGGTGGCAGGTCCAGGGGGGCCCCCCCATTACTCCTCCCTCTCCCCCCTTTTCAGCCGGTCCAGGGCCCCCTCGACTGGTGGAACAGAAGGTGCTCCTCTGCAAACAATGATCAAGCATGAAATTTAATTAGCCGGAGCCTTTGCTGCTGTTTCCATCTCTCTCCCCCCTCCCCTTAAAAAAAAAAAAGACAGTGATAGGGCGTGTGAGAAGGATGGGGCTAGATGGAAGGGCTGGTGAGGATATTGATGCATTTTTTTCTCCTTCCCCCCAATTCTCTTTTCTCTGGAGATTTATCCAGTTTCATAATGTACGAGGGTCTTTAGCAATTGGGGAGGCTGGATCCCTCTCTCTCTCTCTCTCTCTCTCTCTCTCTCTCTCTCTCTCTCTCTCTCTCTCTCTCCCCATCGTCTCTCCTATGTACCCCCAAATCTATTTAAATGCTTTTGGAGCAAAGCCGCTTAGCCACAGTTTTGTGAGAAGTTACTCTGCGTTCATATCTGTCACGTCTATTTAACAGCTTTGGAAGGAGGTTTCAAAGAGACGCTCTTGACGTTAATAAGGCGATTCTGGGCCTGTGTTGTCTGCCTTACTGACACCTCCCGAAAGCGAGTGAAATTTGCCCCTCGGTGTGCCAGACCCCTTCCTCCTCCCACTGTTGGCCATTCTCACGTAGGATTTGCAAGTCAAGAGATTCCCTGTAGTTTAGGGCTGAGCTGTGGGGTCCTTGGTGCTCTCTCAGCTTGGTTGTTTTCTTGCAGACGTTTCATTATCCAACTGGGTAACAGCATCATTTCTAGAAGGGAGAGGAGTTTGTGGAGAGGAGGAGGAGGAGGAGGAGGAGGAGGAGGAGGAGGAGGAGGAGGAGGAGGAGGAGGAGGAGGAGGAGGAGGAGGAGAATGACTGTGTTCCCTTAGGGCTTTCTGAGCTTGCTTGTTTTCTTGCAGACATTTCATGACCCAACTTGGTAACATCGTCAGTGCTAGGAGACAGTGCAGTTTGCCCTCTGTTTATACAGTATAGGGAGCAAACCCCCATATAACTATATGGGCATTCTGTGGCAGGGCAAGTTACTATATATAAACAGGGATCAAACTCCATACTTACAGCACTGATGATGTTACCTAGTTGGGTCACAAAACGTCTGCAAGAAAACAGCTGAGTTCAGAGCTACTGTATATAAACAGGAAGCAAGTCACACTCAGAAGCACTGATGATGTTACTTAGTTGGGTCATAAAATGTCTGCAAGCAAACAGCACCAAGGATCCCACAATAATCTAGCTTTTTTTCCTGTCCTGGCAGGTGTCCCTGTGAAAGTCACAAATACGAAGGATGGGGCCGTTTACCAAACGTCCCTGGAACTCTTCACTTACCTGAATGAAATTGCGTAAGTATTTTCCCCAAATCTGAGCAATATTTAGCTAGGCTGATCGACAGGGCAAGAATTGGTTCCTAGACCATTTAATATTCGGGAATCTGTTACGTAAACAGCCCGCCGCAAAGTTCTTGGTAATCAGCAGAGAGACCTGTTCCTTTGCCAGATCCCCAGAAAGCTTTTAGATTAAAAATGAAAAAGTCTTTGTTACCTTCTAGACATAAAGGGAATATAGTGGCCCCAGAGCTCAATTGCTTGAATTCATGCAGCCCTGTCCCTTTCATTTGAATAAATCTCATTAAAGAAAAGTCCATCGGAGAAGAATTGCTTTTGATTTTCGAGTTTTGGCTCATGTATGTTGGTTGCTCCCTTGTTATGCAGGTTCAAAAAAATATAACCAACATCTCCTGTTTACTTTTTCCCTCCAGTGGCAAGCACGGTGTTGGGCGCATTGATATTGTGGAAAATCGGTTTATTGGGATGAAGTCAAGGGGTAAGAGAGAATTACTTTCCTTTTTGGGCATTTCCAGTGGCTGTAATGTTGTATTTACGTCATACGCAAACTTGGCAACTTTATGATTTGAGGGCTTCAATTCCCAGAATTCTGGGAGGCTGGCTGGAATTCTGAGAGTTGAAGTCCGCAAGTCTTGAAGTTGCCAAGTCTGGAGAGGCCTTGATCTATAGCATAATCAATCCCTTGTTCTGGTTTTGTATGACACATTAATTATAGATTAACCCTGTAGGGTTCATATGGGTTCATACAACATCCTAATCCAGAGTGATTTTAATAGTCTGTGGTTCAGGAGAACCTTAATCAACCAATACATTGGCCGGCTGGCAATCAGGCTGTCTTTAAATTTGACAGCTCATCCCCAAACTGGTCAATGAATGCTGTTGTGAAAGTCCAATATCTAAATAACTGGGCTGAATTCTTGAATGTCTCTTGGCAAAGGGCTCACACTGGGAGAAAGAGGTAGCGTCACTAATCAGATATGAGGCAGCTGAGCTCCGAGAAGGAAAAGGGATGTGGCAAACATCTCAGAAGGGGAAAAAGTCCTTTTAGCCTTTCAAGAGTCTGTTAATGTTACCTTACCTTAAGAATAGAGCTAGTGCTTCTGAATGTGCTTCTGGTCTGGACTACCTCACAAGGCTGACATTCTTACAGAGTGGCTAAAGAGATTCTCCATCATCCAGGTCATGGTTGTCCCAAAAGTGCTTTTTTCCAAAAGCTAGTGACTTGCTCCCTGTTTATATACTGCAGCTGAAAGCTTGGTTGTTTGTTTGCAGACGTTTCATGACCCAACTAGGTAACCTCATCAGGGTGAGTGAGTGTGGGGGTTGCTCCCTGTTTATATACAGTAGATCTGAGCTTGTTTTCTTGCAGACGTTTCATGACCCAACTAGGTAATCTCATCAGGGCGAGTGAGTGTGACTTGCTCCCTGTTTAGATACAATAACTCTGAGCTACTATACGTAAAGCTTCTTCAGAACTGGCAAAAAAGGAACCTTGGGATATCCTTGAAAGGGTTCCCAATCAAGAGGGCATTGCCCCAGCTAGGACCATGGATCCTATTAGTGCAACTTAAGTGCAATTACCAATTAGAAAATTTTAAGCAGCGATCATTGTCTGGAACGGAATATATGTAGCCCCCCCCATTCCTGATCCACTCCTTTCTCTCCCCCCTCCCCACTTCAATCTTTCCTAGCAGCAATTACAGCCCAAATGAAATATAGTGAGCTTTGCCTCCTGACACCGCTGTCTTTTTATTGTAAACACCGAGACACGCTGAGCGGTGGAGTGACACTTGTGAAGGGATCTCTTGTCTTTTGCATAGTAACACAGGAAGAACATCTATCATTTGCTTCTTTCCCCGGGCTGTGATTTGCATTTTGACTGTCAGGGGAGAAGGGAAGGGAGTTAATATATATATATATATATATATCCAAAATATTACTTTGCCTTCCAAACTGCCATCTTTGAGCTTTCGGCTTCCTGTCACCCATCGAGCAAAAAATATTTCAGAGAGAGAGAGGAAGATGGAGAAAGAGGTGTCTTGTATTTCATTTATTTTTCCTGAGTAAAATGGCAGGTAGGGAGTGAGGAGGGAGTTGGAGATGTATAAAGGAGAGGAAAAACTGAAGGAATGCTTAGACATCGATCCGACGCTGAAACACCAGCTTTTTATCAGTCTAAATTAACTTTAACATCACCAAAGCAAGAGATTTTTTTTTTTCCTGACAGTCTGCTCTTTTTTCAAGTTCACCTCTGAGGTTTCTAATTGCTACTGGAAAGTTGCAAAGAATAGATAGTCCTCAGTTAGTGAACGTTTGAAGTTATGACTGACCGCCCCTAACCCGGATTCAAAGTTCTGATGTCTGGACGCTCCCCAGCAGCCCTGCGATCACATTTTGGGTGCTTATTTATCACTATGTATTCAGCATGTGATGAGAACATGATCAAACAAAGTAAACATATACACACAACCCATGTAGTTATACACAGTGACTACTTTATTAGAAGGTTGCAGTAATCAAATCTAGCAGGTCTGAATGTGCTTCCCCCCCCCCGCCCGCCCCCATCTGCCTTTAGATACTAGAGAGAATCTTGACTGAGACGCCTTCTTGAGTTACGTTTTTAGCCCAGACACAGATTTTTTTATTTGACAACTGTCTTGGCTGTGGCTGTTCCTCCTGTTCTTCAAGATTATTTCTTCTGCCCATGACAGACAGACAGACAGACAGACATTTTGATAGATAGATAGATAGATAGATAGATAGATAGATAGATAGATAGATAGATAGATAGATAGATAGATAGAAGTTCAATAGATGATATAGAGGATAGATAGATAGATAGATAGATAGATAGATAGATAGATAGATAGATAGATAGATATAGAGAAATGGTCAGATAATTAGATGATTGAGAGAGAGAGAGATGGAGTTGCTCTTCATTAATCCTGAACTGTCCTTTGCTTTGGGGGGCATATGTATTGCTTCTGTAAATGGGGGTCTCCACAGATCCCCTTGCGAGCAAAAAATAAAAACTGCCTTCCCCAAAGCCCCTTGTTGCTAGCCCCTTGGTATCAGTCGCACCAGAGAATTCAAGCTTTCCTTATGTGGTGTGTCTGTGTGTGTTTTGTTCCCCCCCCCCAAAAAAAATTTCTGACGGACTAAATCCAGTCTTCAGTGACAGGAAATCAGGGTGAAATTTTCCTTCTCGTTCGGCTGTTTTCCATCCTTGCTGCCTATCAAGTCTTCCGCCCCCCCCCAAACCTTTTCTTGTTTGTTGGAAGAGTTAAGGGGGGGGGGAAGAGAGAGACAGATGAGAGGGGTTTTCTTTCTTTTCCTCCGAGACCCCCATGATTTTGCCCTGCGTGGTTGTTTAATTATAGGTTTTCAGGCCCAGATTGGTGGGCAGCCATCGGTGGGAAATCGCCTTCTTAAACCCTGTCATTTTGCCTAGTCGGAGTGTTTCTTCCTAAAGAGGAATCTAGAAATTTTCTCCGCAAGGTGCGGAGTGGACTGTCTCAGCCCCAGCGGGATTGTAATGACAGTTGCGTTTTATGGCAAGCTGAGACTGAATAGAGCGAGGGACTGCATTTCCTTCTGTCAACCAGATCATTATTTTGTGTCATTTCGTGACAGTTTAGGCCTCATTCTCATTTTTTTCCCCCTTTCTCTCTCTCTCATCTGGCTTTCTCCCCCTCCTTGGCGGATGAAACGGCTAGGTATCTACGAGACTCCGGCGGGAACGATCCTCCACTGTGCTCATTTAGACCTTGAGGCCCTCACCATGGACCGCGAAGTGCGCAACATCAAGCGAGGGCTGGCCACGAAGTTTGCCGAGCTGGTGTACAACGGTACGTAACCACGTGCGAACGTGGCTGCTCCAGCCCGTCTTTTCTCCCACGCGGCAAACTCTTTGGATCAGGTGTTGGTCTACCACCGTCAGCCTTGTGAGGTTCAGGTGGTTCCCCCACATACGACGGCTCTTTAGCGAAGTTACAAGGGCACTAAAAAAAATGACCAAGGACCATTTTTTCACACTTACGACCGTTGCAGCATCTAAATTTGGATGCTTGGCACCTGGCTCATATTTATGACGGTCACAGTGATCCCCTTTTGTGATCTTCTGATCTCAGTTGACTAACTCAAGTGGGTTAATTTATATCTTTGCAGGAACTCTCCAGGGTGCTGAACCTCGCTTTTTCTCCAACATTAACTGATTTGTTAGGCAGATTTTTCCACCTTAAAATTATTTCCGTGCCTGACAGGTTCGGGACTTTTAACTAACACAAGGTCTCTCTCACACACACACACAAGCTCACACTCTATATAAGTGTTGCACAAAAGTTTATCTACTTCAAAAAAGAAACCTAAATAATATCATCTTTGAAAAACTTATAGAGTGAAAAAAACCAATTTTAATAGTTTTCGTATTAGCTAGAATTAAAATTAATATTTTAATAGCTAAGAAACTGATAGAGGTTGGGGAGGAGGAAAAAGACAAAATTGAAATCTAGAAAAGGAAAGAAACTGTGAAAAAAAATGAGGCATCCTTGGCGCTCTTTGAACTCGGTTGTTTTCTTGCAAACATTTCATTATCATTAGCGCTGATGATGTTACCTATTTTGGGTCATGAAATGTCTTCCAGAAACAACCAAGCTCAGAGAGAACCAAAGACCCTATAGTCATTGTCCTCCTCCTCCTCCTCCTCCTCTCTGCAAACTCCACTCCCTTCTAGCACTGATGATGTTACCTAGTTGGGTCATGAAACGTCTTCCAGAAAACAACCAAGCTTAGAAAGTGCCAAGGTTCCCTGAGTTTCAAACATTCTCCTTTATTGAAAAAAAGGGAGAAAGAAACGAAGCACAACTGAACAAATAAGCAAAACTAAAATACAAAAATGCACACCTTGGTTTGTGTTTCCCAACACGCTGCCGAGTGCAGCGCTCTGGAAATAGGTTGGCGGGGAGAACCCACTAATCAGATTGTCTAGCTGTGAGTGGGTTTAAGCACCCACTCCACCAATTTGGAGCCAGTGCGTAGCTGTTAAATTATCCACTCTTATGTTTCTTCCTGATGGGAGTTTGCTATGTAGAATTAGCCCACACTGGGGCACTGTGCAATTTATCTTGGGCTGAAAGACTGGAGCGGTTTTGTTAGAGGCAATACATGAAAATGGTAGAAGAAATCCTGGCTTGTGTTTTTCAATACAAGTGCCAAGAAGGTTGTTACCCCTGGCATTTTCAAGCAGGTGTGGTCAGCAGGATGAAGCCATTCCTGGCTGGCAGCCAGTTGGGAAAAATGAAAATAAAGGAGAATGAAAGCTGGGGGGGGGGGGTGTTGGAAGAAACCGCAGTGAGAAGCATCTTATTGGACAGAGATTAGGAAAGGAGGCCCGCTTTAAATAGGATTTGGGGTTCTCAAACAATTTGGGGATCCCAAATTATCTTTCCTGGTTTTTCCTGTTTCCTTGTTTTTTTTTTTTAAAGCATATTATAAATGCTGATACTGAGCCAGAATACTGTCAAGCACAAGGAAACGGAACCCTCCGTTAGGTTGCAGTATAGAAGATTTTTTCAAGCCTATACAGGCAGTCCTCAACTTATGATCACAACTGAGAGACTGGACAGCCATTTGTCCAAAATGGTGTAAGGTCTGCTGCTTGAGCGGGGGGGGGGGGTTGGACTAGAAGACCTCCAAAGTCCCTTTCAACCCAATCGTTCTGTGTTCTACATAGACTCGTGTCCCTTGGCTACCTGTTTACTCAAGAACCTACCCGAAAGTTATTCCCTAAATGAAAGGAGAACCTGGTGGCCTGGCACGGGTGTGTGTCCTGCACTGCACTTAATTTTTTATTATCCTTTCGGGCTCTCCCCTTCTCCTTGCCACCCAGTCATGGCTTCATTTAAACCAGGCAAATTCCGAATTGCACCTCCCTGCCTTTTTAGCCATTCCTCTTCCCAAAATCAACTCTGGCAGGCGAGCTGCAGCGTCTTGTCAGAAGGAAAACCACATGCAAAAAGATGCAAAACAAAACGGCCCCTTCCCCTCTCCCCCCCCCCAAAAGCCAAATAACAATACTGCAGATGACAGAGCACTCTACTCAGCAGAGGGAGCCGGCTGGAGGCGAAGTTTTTGTACCCCTGTCTTCCTTAAACACCTAATTACTGTAACCTGTCTCTGGATTTAAGGCAATTAGCGGCTGTCATTTCTCTCATATCCCTGCAAGCTCCCTTCCAGCCGTGGTGGGAAGGCAGGATTGCAGGACTGGTTTTGTTCAGGCTCCTGCTCTGCGCCAGGTTTACGCCAGGTGCTGCGAAAGAAGGGCACGGAGCTCCCACCTGCTTCCCTGTTCCGAGGAGGGGCGCTGAGTTCCCTTTGCAAAGCAGGGGTCCTTATGGCGGGGTGGGGGACGGAGGCAGAGAGAAGGGGAGCACCAGATTGACTAGCTTTTTTTCAAAAGATATAGTTTGTCAGGATTTCCCCCCCCCCCAGAATGAAAGATAAATTGAAAGAGGGAGGAGGGAGGGAGAGAAAAAAGGATGAGAGGAAATGAGAGAGAGAGAGAGAGAGAGAGAGAGAGAGAGAGAGAGAGAGAGAGAGAGAAAAGGGAAGGGAGGAAAGAAAGAGAAAGAAGAGGAAGGGAAGGAGGGAAAGAAGGGAAGAAAGAAGGAAAGAAAAGGGAAGGAGGGAGGAAGGAACAAAAGAAAAAGAGAGGGGAGGGAGGGAAAGAGGGAGGGAAGGAAGGAAAGAAAGAAGAGGAAAGGAAAGGAGGAAGCAAGGAAAGAGAGAAAGGAGGGAAGGAAGAAAAGAAAGATGGAAGAGAAGAGGGAGGGAAGGAAGGGAAGAAAGAAGGAAAGAGAAAAGGGAAGGAGGGAGAGAGGGAGGAAGGAACGAAAGAAAAAGAGAGGGAAAGAGGGAGGGAAGCAAGGAAAGAAAGAAAGAGAAGAGGAAAAAAGGAGGAAGGAAGGAAAGAGAGAAAGGAGGGAAGGAAGAAAAGAAAGATGGAAGAGAATAGGAAGGGAAGGAGGGAGGGAGGAAAGAAAGAAAGAAAGAAAAAGAGAGGGGAGGGAAAGTCCCCACAAAGCTTCCAGTCAGTCTTTCAGAAAAGTTGGTGTGTGTGTGTGTGTGTGTGTGTGTGTGTGTGTGTGTGTGTGTCTTTCTCCTTCACACCAAGCATGTCAATTTTGCCATTTCTGCAAATTTGACATTTTCACAATCCACCCCTCCATTGTGGGCATTTCATTATTCTTCCATCATGGCGCGTATAATAATCTTGCTGCAGTCACCATCTACAAAATCAGTCTAGCATGAGTTGGATCCCGTTGACTAGAGAGAACATTGCGAAGAGGGCAAATAGGAATGAAAGCAAAGACCTCTAAGCTTGAGTAGATCTCAGCTGGTCCTTAACAAATGGGTCATTTGACAATTCCAAAACACCCATTTGCGAACATCTCCATAAATATTGGACTTAGCCAAGGCAGGGTCCCTTTTCTGAATTAAAATACAAAACAAGCTTCTACTCTGTGCCAAAAGTTTGTTAGGGAATGCAAAGATACACATTTCCACCCCAAATATCACACTTGTTGAGCCCAGCATAAACAGCAGGATATGCAGAATCACAGATTCAAAAGTTGAAGAGTCGTGATTAAGATGTGGAAGACTTTGACAAAACCCCATCCAAACGGTCTTCAACTTTCCATCGTTGTGATGGCGACTTCCATGTTCCGAAGACCTAATTGCGAGAAATGCTGTTCTGTTCCATCCCATTCAAGCTAATCATACAGTCCAAATCAAGAGTGTCCAATTTTGGCAACTTTAAGACTTGTGGACTTCAACTCCCAGAATTCCCCAGCCAGTCTCCTGCTTTATAGCCTGCTGCCTCAACCACTAGACCAAACTGGCTGTCCAATGCATGACAACCTATGTTGGCTTTCTTGTATGAAATATGATGCCTTCAAGACTTTGGTGTCTCTGTCCAAAAAAACCACCATGGAAGCTGAAGCTCCTTAGTGACAGCTTCCACAAGAAACTTTTGAGATCCTTAACGGGTCCTTGGCTCCCAAAATTTGAAGATCCCTTCCCTAGAGGAAGTGATTAAGTCGCTGGCTTATTCCAAGAACAAGGATGAAACTTGAGGATCAGTGTAGGGTATCTGGCCTCTATTGTCTTCTCATAGCGGGAGCAACAAAGCCTGGCCTATAGTTGAACGAAAATTGAGATGCGGTTCCTTGAATTGGCGAGGGGGAAAAGGTTACTTGAGAATTGAAAGGAAGCAAGAGAGGAAGGGAGAGATCTCCACCATATGGGTACAGATGTCCCAGTGTGATAGAGACTTGGGCCTGCCTTGCAGAAACTAAAAAGAGGAAGACCAGTCTGAGGCAGAAAGGCGCCACTGTTTCTACTGTAGCTTCTTAATTACAGGGAAAGAAGGGGGGGGGGTGTCCCCTGCCTGCTCCTTGTGATGAACTTTCCTTTGAAGGTTCTCCTTTGAAAAGGAGGATTTCTTTCCCTGCTCCTCTTCCTTCTCCTGGGGATTAGAAATGGTCATCCTGTTCCGCCTTTATCTTTTGATAATACAGGTGAGGCAGGATCTTTTTTGCTCTTTAGCCATCTGCCCTAGTCTCTGGTCTTCTCCAGATGGTCTTTGGTAATGTTACATGTATAATAATCATCCTGGCTTTGTGTGCCTTGAACAGAGACGCGGGTGCCTGTGTTTGCAAAGGACCTACAGCAAGCGAATCGGGTAAGAAGGACCCTCCAAAAACTTAAGCTGCTGCTCAGAGCGATCTCTTTCTTTGTGGTAGGCTTCTGGTTCAGCCCCGAAGGCGAATTCATCCGTCGTTGCATCAGCCATTCCCAAGACCTGGTGGATGGAAAAGTCCAGCTCTGTGTCTTGAAGGGTAACGTCTACGTTTTGGGAAGGGAATCGCCCCAATCCCTGTACAATGAAGAGCTTGTAAGGTGAGTCCCTCAAGTATAATTCCCAGACTGATAAAGCTTCTGGAGAACCATCCGCCCACAAGCCATCTCTATGGGAGATGAAACAGGCTGAATTGGAGGGCAGTGTTAAACATGTCATCCATTTGAAATCACTGCACAGCCACAAGAGACCCAGGTCCAGCCCTCCTTGAGTTCCATTGACCCTCATCTAGTCCCAGTTTAGCTTTGACCTTCAGTTGACCAGATTCTTATGCATAGCTAGCAATAATAAACCCTTCTGTGCTTTGAATTCAAGCTTCTCCATTAGCAAAAAAGAGACTCATCTTCTTACTGGCTCACAGGAGATTGTTAGAAAGGAAACCAGAAAGAATAAACAGAATAAGAGAATTGGAGGTCTTCTAGCCAATCTCCTGCTCTGGCAGAAAGCTATTTCAGACAAACGGTTATCCACTCTCTTCTTAAAAACCTCCAGTGGAAATCTTGCCACTTTGTTCCTTTCACCTCAATAAATCTTGTTGAAGAAAACTCCGGAGAATCGTATTGGGAAAAGAGCAATTTTCATTTTGAGCTAACTTGGGAAGTGCTGCAGAATAGAACTTCTCCACTCCAGCCCAACTAATAAATAACTCTTTCCCCACCGCTCACACAGTGGCAACTTAAGAATAGACTTTTAAGAATATGCCACGTGAAAGAGACTTCCGTAGTTTAAATAAGTATTTTTTTTTTAAATTTGCCCTGAGTTTTCTATACATCTGTGGTAAAAATGCCCCCAAGATTTAAAAGCTCTAAAATTTCCACCTTGACATTATATATTCTTAACTTTGGCTTTCTCTTCTGTTTTGTCACCCTTACTGAATTTTGAGAGGCATGAAAAAAAAAATCCACACAATTAAGCAAAGGTCTTGTTTAAAAGTGAAAAGTATTTTCACTTTTCATTAAGCTTTCAGCCTTTTATACATATACATACATACATACATACATACATACATACATACATACATATATCACATACACTCGTCTGCTTCTCTTTTTTATTTCTGTCTCTTCGTTCCCTTTTCAATCCTTCGAAATGCTTTATAAACCATAAATATACCCAAATCAGTTTAGATCAGTCAGACTAAATGTCAAATTATGCCTCTCTCCTCTGGATCTGACTTTCCTCCCCCTTAAAAATCAGCAGTTTCTAATAATTCATCCCAACCTTTCATTATCGTTTGCATTCTCACGCAGTGAAATTAAGTGAATAACGTTAAAAGAGAGAGAGAGAGAGAGAGGGAGGGAGGGAGAGGGAGAGAGAGGGGGAGAGAGAGAGAGCGGGGTGGGGAGAAGGAAGAAAGAGCGCAAAGGAAAAAGGAGCGGGGGAAAAAAAAAAAAGAACCCAGGGACATTTATTCTCACTGTGCCGTTAGCCATTTTTCTTTTCTTCTTGATTTCTACCTCGTTGGGTTGAAAAGCATTTGAGTGACGGCATCATGGGAACTGAAGCGGGTGCCGCAAGAGATGTAACGCCGAAAAATGCCTTTGCACAGTGGGTAGAAAGTAACATAATTACAGAGCAGGTCAGCACCACTTCAATGAGCAAAAATAAAAGCTCAGAGGTTTTTCTATAGCCCTTTGGGGGAGGTAAAGTCATTGTAAACTGTCTCTCTCTTTTTTTTTTTAAAAAAAATTCCCCTCCCCTTTCAAAAAAATATATATGAGGGTTGCAGTTTGCAGAAGAGGAAAAAAGGTACTCTTTTATTTCGAATTTAATTTCCTCCTCTTTGCTTCTGTCATGAGAAGTGAATCCGGTTCGCAGTCCAATTTGGGGGCTGAACAAGCACGCGGGATTTTTGTTGCAGGCTTAATTCCAGTCCCCCCCAGAGTGTTTTCTTACAACTTCTTGTGAGAAAATGTCCCTCCTCGTCCTTCTTTTTATTAAACTAGACAATTCCTGCAACTGTCCTTCCTATGTTTTAGCCTCCAGTCCCCTGATCATCTTTGTTGCTCTTCTCTGCGCTCTTTCTAGACGTCTCAACATCTTTTTTTACATCGTGACAACCAAAACTGGATGCAGGATTCCAAGTGTGGCCTTATAAAGTGATATATTTGTGACATTTCTGAGAAGTAGCAAGAGAAAGGAAAAAAAAAACTCAGCATGCCACTAGGAACATTGCAAACCCTTTTTGCTATCCCAAATGCTAAACCAGAAACATTTTGCCTCCACCTGTTGTATAAATTTCTAACACTCTGGAAGAACTTCACATGTTGTGAGTGCTCCATCACCTTTTTAGGAAGAGATTGGCCAGCCACTTGACCAGGATGGGATAGGGTCTCCTGCTTCAGCAGGGGGTTAGACTAGAAGACCTCTGAGACCCCTTCCAACTCTTAGGTTATTCTGCTAAAAGGGCCCGTTCTTACAGACAACCAGTTGAGTAGAACGTGGACATCTGCTTCAGGATTAAGCTAAAGGTTAGATGAAGGGACAATTTCTCTTTCGACAAGTCAGCCAAGGGGTGCTCTTGTCCTTTGAAAAAATGGGAGGGGGAAAAAATTTAACTGGGGGGTGGGGGTGTTGAGAAATAGAGGGAGCAATAGGAGGAGGAAGAAAAGAAAGAGGTTGTGTGCAAGACCTTGAGTGCCTTGAACATTATGCGGCCTGTTTTTATTGCCCCATAATTAATGGGCCGGCGTTTCACCCAACAAAAGGGTCTTTCTGAGGCTAACGCTCTCAAGTCAAAGGTTGTGGAAAGACATCGCTTTTAAATTAGGTGATTGTGTGCCAGGAGTGAATTCCACACGGGTGAAGGCTGAGAGCCTTTGATGGGAGGGAAACAGGGGTGGCTTTGTCAAGGGACAAGGACTCTGGCTTCACAGGGAGGTGTTGACCAAACTCCACCTTGCAGGCTATTAAGACCATCCCCAATCCTAATTTGGTCTGAATGTTTGGTCTTCCATGCCTTATACAGGCAGTCCCCGACTTATAACAGTTCATTTAGTGGCCGTTTGAAGTTACAACAGCACTGAGAAAAATGGCTTATGACCATTTTTCACACCATTGCGGCATCTCCAAGGCCAGGTGATTAAAATCTAGGTGCTTGGCGACCAACTGCTCTTTGTGAGGACGGCCTGTAATTAGCTAATGTTTCATTCTGGCGTCTTGCGATTGCTAAATTGTCCCTCTTATTTTTGGGCCGCCACATCTGCCCGGTCCTTCCTGCATGAGGGTTTGTGTTGTGTGCAATTTCACACCTTGGAAACGCAGGAGTACTGGCACTCGGATGAATGCGGGCCTGCTTCTTCTGCCCTAACCATGGCTTAAGATACTACGCAGAGGTCTCTTGAGTAAAATCCCAATCTCTTTCCAAACCTGACATTGCTGTTCTGACTCATCCTTTCTCTTCTTGTCATTCAGCATGGATGTTCAAGGGAGTTACGAACCCTTAGATGCTACTGGATTCATCAACATCAATTCTCTTAGGTTTGTATTCCCTAAAGACACTAGGTCTCGTCCGCTCATTAACCAGTGGAACGGCCTGCCTCCGAAAGTTGTGGATGCTCCATCACTGGAGATTTTTAAGAAGAGATTGGACTGCCATTTGCCTGAAATGGTATAGGACTTCCTGCCTGGACAGGGAGTTGGACTAGATGACCTCCAAGGTCCCTCCCTCCCAACTCTGCTATTCTGCATTCTGTATGTCTGCTAGGTTACATTATAGGATGAATGGTTGAGGGAACTAGGTATGAGATGGATGGATGGATGGATGGATGGATGGATGGATGGATAGAGATTAGAAAGGAGAGAGATTAGAGAGAGAAATTAGAGAGATGGATGGATGGATGGATGGATGGATGGATGGAGAAATAGAATAGGATGGGATGGGATAGGACAGGCAGTAAGATAGACAGATGGATTGATAACTAGCTACAGGATGGATGGACAGACAGATGGACGGACAGACAGGCAGAGAAGGGGTTGATATAGAATGGACAGACAGACAGACAGACAGACAGAAAAGGCTATGTTTAGCAGGCAGGAGTCAAAGAAAAAAACACAGGAACAAAACCCCTCTTATTTATTGTTGTTTCACGTTGCTTAATTGCCTCAAATCTTTGTGTGTTACATGTAAATTCATAATTATTTTTTCTCCCTTTCTTTTCTCTCTCTTTCTCTCTCTCTCTCCCTCCCTTCGGTTGGCACACAGGCTGAAAGAATATCATCGGCTCTGCGACAAGGTCAGCCCGGCTCAGAATTAATAGCAATCCAGAGGCCCAAAAGCTCAGTCTTTCCTCTTCTGCTAATTTCTTCCTGGCTCTCATCATCCCGGTGATAATTGGTGACGGTTATCCACCTTCCCTAGGCCTGTTTTGTTACGCTTCTCAATAGCCGAGGCGGCAAGCTGCCGGAAAGCAAGGGAGTCTTCCTAGGAACCAAAATGTTATTAAAATATTTCCGTCGTTATTTCAACAATTCTAACAAGTGGCACCCTTTGTATTCATCTTTCTTTACTTTGTTGGGGGGGTGGTGGTGGTTTCATCTTCTCACACATCATACATTGCTTAAGCTATTTTTAAAATTCCTGGGCCATCTGAAGGACACCCTGCATTTTGTTCAGAATTGGCAATTTTTTGTTTGTATGTGCAAGGAAAACAAAAACATAATACTGCCGCGGTTGGATTTCACCCAAAATGAGCCCTCATTCTACCTATAATAGCTTAGCAAGAAAAAAAAATTAGCATTTTCCTTTTAATCACCAACCATTAGGTGATTATGTCTTTGGCTTAATTGCTATGAAGTCTGGTTGAGTTTCTCTGTCTGCGTTTCCTTTTTTCCAAATCCTTTTATCCGATTTTTATCGCTGCTGATATTTTGATGCACTGCTTTTGACCTTCCCTGGGGATTCAATGCTGAGGATCTGATTCAAGGTAAAGAGAGTAAAAAAGGATGGAAAATAGTGCTTGAAGGAATGTTAAAATGTTTGGTCTCCGAAGCCATTTTTTTGAAACCGGTCCAGGAGAAAAGCAGAGAGGAAAAACAATTATTATTATTTGTTTTGCCTGCATGGCTTGGTAGGATGAAAGACCCTGGATGGGAAGGCCAACTTAAATCCTGTTTAAGCGAGATTCAACTTATTTTATTTACTAAATTTGTTTGCCATCATCCTCTGATTTTTTTTTCCTTCCAGTTATGTTAATCTGGTTTAGTTTCTTCTGCATTTTCTACTTGAGCAGAATGCATTGAGGATTTGGCCAGCTGATCAAACCACAGTCTTTTTGCAACTTAATCAAGTCACTGTCATCACATAAGCAAGTCACAGAGAAGACGGGGGCCGGCCTCCAAAGCGCCTGAAGGTGGGGGCTGGACTAGAAGACCTCCAAGGACCCTTCCAATTCTGTTTTTCTGTATATAGTCTTCCAATATTTGAGGGGCTGTCTCGAAGAAGAGGAGGACAATGAGTAACTTATTTGGAGAGGCAGTTGAGGAAGTTTGACGAAGTTTGCTAATTTTAGTTGATTAACTTAGGATCAGCTTGACTGTCAATTATCTAGTGGAGACCCTGATTCTCGGGCCATTGTGGATTCTATTAATATTTTAAAGGAAGATGGATACAGTACAAGGAATAACATATGTTTGGATATAAAGCTTCTCGCCGTCCGGATTTCCCCTGGCGCTCCACCGCAGGGTCACCTAAAGCCGACGGTGCCCGGCAGCTGTTTGGGGACCATCCCGTTGGCTTCAGCCTTGGGCTGATCTGCACTCTTCTCAGGCTGCAGAGCAAAAGGGGGCTTTGCCGGGGTCATTTTCAATCAATAACTCATCTCCCGGCTTTGCTAGCGGAAGTGATAGCCTATTGGAAGAAGTTAATGGCTTTGGTCTTGGAGAAGAGGCTAATCTTCCCCAGCTGCAGAAGATCTCCGCAGGTGGGCTTCCAACGTCTCCGACAAGGGACAGCGGCCAGCTGGCGGCACGTGGGACCGAAGCCCTTTGCATTCCCAAAGCTGGGAAAACTCTCAAAGTTTCTTACCTCGGGATTGTGGCATGTTAAAAGCTGGCTTGAAATTTTTCCTGTTTTTTTTTTCGTTCCACGGAAAGCCAGCCGTTCAGAGTTGCTCACTGCTGGGTCCTAAATGACCCCAAATGGAGTCAGGGTTTCATTCATTATCCCTGACTTGCTTTGCAGCTGCTATAAACCTCCCGGGGCTGGGATAGATGACCTCTAGGTTCCTCCCCCAAAGTGGCCCTTTGGATAATTGAGCCTGAAGCGCCATGCAAAAAGATTGGGGGATGGAGGGGGGAGGGAAAAAAACCTGCCCCAGAAGGAGAAGAGGAGCCTCACAAAGCCAGTTTGTGAATTTAGCCGTTTTGGGGGCCGTTTCGCCCGAAGCTCCGAGGAACGGCGGCAAAATTCTCCTTTGTAAATCCCTTAACAAGATGGCTTTGTGGGGGACCTGGCTGACATCTCCTTCTGTCAGAGCCGTCCCTGGGCCTGCTGAAAGCAGCTATTCTTTTCTTTTCCCCGTCCTGGGAACCACCTGAGGGAGAGGCAGGACGGGGAACCCAAGCCAGCGAGGGCACAGAGGCCATCGCCCGGGGCTGTCCCGTGGGACCGTCCCTCCCCGCCAAGAAAGCGGGCCGAGAGAGACGTACAGAAAGTACCCTGATGGCATCTGGTCACTCAATCGCAGTGGTCAGTTGGGGCCTGGCCGGGCTCTTTCCAGCCAACCCCCTCTCCAGTCCTAATGGAGGACGGGCTTAAATATCCAGGAGGCCCCTGATCCGACAGGTAAGTTTGATTGGATTTGGGTAACCGTAGCCCTCGGTGCCCTAATGGCCTCTTCCCCCCCCCCAGGCACTTTTGGGGAAAGACTGCCAGGGAAGGTCACCGGCATGACCTCTGGGATTATGGGAGAGCTTGACTTGGAGCGCATGTCGTCAGCCTGTGGGGCTCCGGCGGCTTCTCTGAGCCTCATGGGTTGATGTGGGCACAGAGGGACGGACGGTCCTGGCGTCTTTCCTCCGAGGGAGACCCCTCGCTCCGCATGACGACGTGGTCAAACCATCGCAGGGCATTAAGGATCAGCCACACCGACATCCAAAGGGTTGAGAAGGGGAAGCCGAGCGGTGCGACATGAACCTCAATTATAGGTGGTCCTCAACATACGACCACAATCGATCCCCAAAATTCAGCTTGCTCAGTGTGACAGTTGCTAAGTGAGTTTTGCCCCATTGTACGACCTTTCTTGCCACCGTCACTATGCGAATCAGTGCCATTGTTAAATGAATCTTGGCTTCCCCATTGACTTTGCTTGTCCGAGGGTCATAACTGGGGATCACTTGGTCCCGGGGACGCCTCGACCATCATAAATACGAGTCAGTTGCCAAGCCTCCAACTTTTGATCACGTGACCGTGGGAACACTGCAACGGTCGTAAGTGTGAAAAATGGCCCTAAGTCCCTTTTTCTAGGGCTGTTGTAACTTCAAATGTTATATATATATATATATATATATATATATATATATATATATATATATATATATATATGTTGTAAGTCAAGGGCCACCATACTTCTCTGGCTCGTCCTCTTTTGAAACAAGTTCCAATAAATAGCTCTTTCATACCCATAAAAGTCCTTTTTACTGCTGTTATCCTCCACCCATATTTTGTTTTAATCAAAACACACATTTCAGCTCAAGGCCATTGCGGTAAATCTGTAGCTCTTGATGAGCATCGCGCAAGGGTTAAAAACAAGGGGGACCCATCCTTCCCGGCACACAGCACCCCCTCCGTCAAGGTCCCATGGGGGGAGCGAATGGTGCTCAGCGCTGGCCTCATCCTTCCCCAGGTTGCGTCTCGGAAGGCAAAACAAAATCAGAAAAGACAAGTGGAGAAACAGGGTAGCCAGACGCCTGGATTGAACCAACAAGTGGTGGTTTTGTGTTGAATTGTTGGTGATGTGTTTTAAGTGGGCTTTCCAGTGGAAAATGTTAGGCACTTGAGAGACAAGCAGACAAAGGCAGGGAAATGCATTAGTTTTTTATTGGTCTGTTTTGCACATATTTGACATTACTCGATTAAGCAAGTCTCTGTTCAGCCTATTAAACGATAGAGAAGAATGGGAAGCGAAGGAGGGGAGGCAGCGAAGAGGGAAAATTGTTCAAACAGGCAAGCAGTCGCATAATGGACCGGAGACGTTGGCGCACACTGTGCCAGCCAGATGGGACCCAAACGTTGCAGAGAATTAGCAAAAACCGGCATTGTTTGGCAGAGAAAGTAGATTATTCTTCTCTTTAATAGCTCTCTCTATTCGCTATAATAATATCTCATTCATGGGCTGAGCATATCAAGGACAGAAGTCACCAGCAAAGAGCACGGAGAGAGAGCCGCGCAAAACATACACACACACACAGAAACACACGTAGGTTAGTGACAGGAGCTGCTTGCACAACTCAGAAAGGGTTTCAGAGAAAAAAGGAAATAGCTACAAATGAGCAGTGGGTCTTCCAGACCAGTCAAGTTGAGGAAGACACAATCCCACACTTTCGCAAGATCAAGTAGTCCTTGACTTATGACAATTTGTTTAGTGACAGTTTGAAGTTAAACAGTGCTGAAAAAAGTGACTTAGGACTGTTTTTTACCCTTACGATGGTTGCAGCGTCCCCGTGGTCACGTCATCAAAATTCAGACCCTTGGCAGCCGATTCACATTTATGATGGTTGGGGTCATGTGATCCCCTTTTGTGACCTTCTGACAAAGTCAGCGTGGAAGCCAGATTCATTTCACAATCACGTTACTAACTTAACAACTGCCGTGATTCACTTAATTCACTCAATTGTGGTCGTAAGTCAAGGACAGCATGTACTCTGCCTTCCTGGGTTGGGTTTTGAAGGGGAAGCAGACAACCTAAGGTCATCCTTTGTCAATAACTCTTTATCTGCAGGGACAAACAGTACCATCATGAATAGAAATGACTTTCGACTTCCCGCAGGCTTCCCCATTGACTTTGCTTGCAGGACTCTGCAGGTGAGCTTCAGTTACTAACGTATAAAGCCCTGTCTCTCAATGGTTCATCAATGTGTGCTACTAATCGCAGTTCAAATAATAGTTCAAATATCTAGGAGCGACACTCCCTGAAGATGGAAACATGGACGAAGAGATTAACCTACGATGCACTAAGGCAAACCAGGGACTGGAACAGCTAGTCTCTCTCTGATCAGCACAAAGACACATCTCTTACTCATCCCCACCCTATGTGTCATGGCTGACTCCCCAGGCCCCCCGCTTGCAGCCAGACAACCGAAACGGAGGAAGTACGCAAGGGAGGCTTGGGAGGGAATGGAGAGATTCAAGGGAGCCAGTGCAGGCCAGGACAATCCCAACATCCCAAGGTCAAACTCTTGGGAAACTCCCAGGTATTCAGAATGTTCCCAAAACAAAATGAAATTGATTGGTGGACAATGAACTCTGAAGAGCTCCAGGG